GCCTAAGCTTGTTCTCCATGATGTATTGGTAATTGTTGTGATGCAATGAGTTGGTGTAGACGATGATGTGACTTCCACGTAAGATCTTATAGACCAGACAGTTATATCATGACAAGTCTATAATTTTAGGATTGGGTCTATTGTTAGAGCAGTACTAATATCATAGCAGACCATAATTCTACACACCCACCAAGCTGAAGGCGCTTGGTCACGCATCGGGAAGAGATCACGAGTGGATACTCTATGATCAACTTCACCTACGACCGCTAGCTAGCTTAGACCAGTCACTTCTTGATATATGGGTAGACTATCAAATACATCTTTGGAACTCTTCGCTTCTGACCTATGATTTCACTGTGTAGGCACGCTTTAATTACAGAAGGTGTTACTGCGTAAGGTGTAGTCAAACTCCAAATACTTATGGTACCTTTATTAGTTTTCCTTACAATATATTGTTGAACGCTCCATAACGTACTGGTGCGGTAAACGTAACACTATGGAATATGAGTAGACATAAATGGCGATATTACAAATTCATGTTCATAAAGTACATAGGATGTTCGAACATCTACTCCTTCGAGCATTTATCAAGCAATAAATTCGATATTATGCCCATATAGAACCTTCTTCCAAACTCACTTTTCTGTTTAGTTCCAATACGATTAAAAATTAAAAAGAGTGGTCAATCTTTAGTCAGATAATTTGAATGATTCTTAAAACACTGGTTATTTTAATCTGATAGGCTACTCGATGAACAAAAATCATCACTTGGTTACGATGGGTTCAATACAAAACGTATTCTTCAACAGTCCTGTAAGAAATTTACAAAATACATTACTATCCAATCTCGTTCACCATAGTAGTGATAATTTTGGCAGACGTCTTAACCCATACGTGCCAAGAAAATCAAATTCACAAAATGACCACCTATTATTAAACGACTGTCAGTATGGGTCGTCAAGCATAACAGTAATTGGTAAATCTGAGTCCACATTGAAAACAATATTGAGAACATTGTTAAACGGAAATTAGCGGTCAATGATTTCAAAAAATTCGTTTTGTGTCCATTTATGATGGCTATAAAAATTGGTTTTCTTCTCTTAGATTGTCGTCTACTACACACACGTTGCGCGAGACATTTCAGTATGAACAATTGCAGTAACTGTACATTAACAATCGGTCCAGAATACAGTTTTTGCTCAACTTTGTCCAGTGGTATCTTTTTTTACTCCTTGACTGACACTGGCGTTCACATTGTAATCATTTTGTGTTTTAAATCTTTTTAATCAAAATTAAAATGGTTGGTAAGACTCATAAATGTGGACAACCAAACTGCTTGTTCCCCGTTGAGGAATGGACGCTGTGAGATGATTGTAATAAGTGGTGCCATAAGATGTGTACACGCCTAAGTCCTATGGCACGCAAAAGATGTTCGAAGCCTAACTCACATCGGCTTTGTATGTTCTGCTGTACAAATAAAAAGTTACTAATTCAGAAGGCTATGAGCCTATTGGCTTTGGCCTGTAAGAAAAACGACGGCGGTAGCGCTGATAACACGAGCACTGACGGTGATGCTACCGGACCCGCTTAACACCCGACTGTGACTGACGGGAAAGTGAAATCTCCGTTAATATCAACGAAGAGTGAAGTGCCGCTAGATACTGACATCGTCAATCATACACCTCTAGTCTAAATTGAAGACCCGGATAAGACTGTCACCGTTCCAAATACTCCCAGTGTGGCTGTCCTGAGTGGTGATAAGTGGACTTCAGTACAGAGAAAGGTAAATGAGAAGAAGAAAGCTGTTGGTAAAACGCAGCTGATCAGCAAGTCATTGGAAGAGACGGTATCAGAAGCAAAAACTCCACTGCGTGACAAGACAGATCTCTCTGAGAGATCAGTCATCTTTCATAAGTTAAAAGAAACTTCCGATAAAGAATCAAAGGCTAGATTTGAACACGATCTCAATCATCTTACGTCCTTAATAAGTAAGCAACTCCCAGATACAGTTTCAGGAGTTAGTATTTGTAAGCTTTATAGAATAGGAAAAAAGGTGGTTTCTGAAAGTCCTCAGAAAGACCTCCTTTTGAAGTTTACATTCATCACGGTTGAAGAAAGGAACCTGATTCTAGGTAATTCACGTAAACTGATTGGATCCGGAATATACGTCCGTGAGGATCTCAGTCTAGCTGATCGTATTAAGAGGCGAGCTACAGAAGCGGAAATAAATGAACGTCGCCAAAACGGTGAAAGAAACCTCGTTCTTGAGAGTTTTCAAATTGTAAAAGTTCGGAGCAAAGCGATCCCCAAGCCACTCTGGGTGGTAAGGGAAAGTTCTCCACAGACTTGAAGGTATGCTACACAAATGCTCGCAGCCTACTCAATAAAATGGCGGAGCTCAAGTCAGTGGTGGATAAAGAAAAACCGGACGTTATTGATGTCTCGGAAACTTGGTTAACTTCAGAAGTAATAAATAGTGAAATCCAGTTGACTGGTTTCATAACCAGTAGGGCTGATAGATTAAACCGAAGGGGAGGCGGGGTTATTCTGTACACGAAAAGTACCCTAACCATAAGATTAGCTGGGACAGTAGCACATGTGTCAGGGACATGTGAACCGGTGCGATGTAAGCTGAAATGTAGACGGCAAGATATTGAATTAGTTGTGGTACATCGCAGTCCAGAATGTGTAGCAGATGATTTTCTCCTAAATAAACTCAAGTCCGGGAGAAACAAGGGTAAAAGCCTTGTAGTATGTGACTTAAATGCACCGCATATAAATTGGGAAACTTAGAAGTAGGGTCATCGATAACGTCGTTCGATTGCAAGCTGTTAGAAATCTCGACTGCATTAGCTTTATTCCAACACAATAGAAACCCCACAAGATATGACTTAAAAAGCTCTTCTTCTCTTTTAGATTTAGTCTTCACACACGGTGATGACGTTGGTCAAATGACTTTCCTCCCACCACTAGGGAGAAGCGGTCATGTAGTCATCTTATTCAAATTCATGGCTGAGATCGCCTGTCGAACAGTAGCGCCGGCCCTTCCTAACATATGGAAGGCAGACATGAAGGCAATCAACTGTGCAGCATGAGCTGAGAACTGAGAAAATGAACTCAAGGGCATCAGTACAAAAGGCATGGACTCTTTTTAGGCAGTAATACAATCGGGTAACTCAACCATACATCCCCTGGACAGTTACAAAGAGGAAGAAGCACGGCCATTTCTGGATAGGCCGAGATATTCGATGTTTACTAAGACAAAAGAAGAGATGTTGGGATGTTGCCATCTGCCTTAGCACAGCAGATACGACGGAACGCTACAGGTCGGTAAGAAACAAGTGTATAGCTAAAATTCTGGACAATCTGCACTCAAGCAGCCCAAGAGGATATTCTCGTACATAAACTACAAAACAAGAGTGCATGATTGGATTCCCAACCTAATTAAAGAAGGAAGAGAATCCGGAATGATAGAGGAAGATCAGGAAAAAGCAGAGGCTATGGCTGACTATTTTGGGACAGTTTTCACTCAGGAACCTCCTTTGGAGAAAGAACCAGATCAAAATAAACAGTCAACAAGGAGTATTACCTATGGACTGGAAGGACGCGATCGTCTATCGCATACACAAAACAGGTCCACGACAAGTTCCATCGAATTACATACCTGTAAGCCTCACCAGTGTTGTGGTTAAAATAATGGAAAGAATAGTCAAACGGACCATAATGGCATCTATGGAAACCAATAACTTGCTAAACATGGAACAACATGGTTTTAGAAAGGGTCTATCTTGTACAAGGAACCTCCTTATAGCAAGGGAGTTCTGGATAAATGCACTGGGCAACGGAAACTCAGTGGGTGTTGTCTACATAGATTTCAGTAAGGCTTTTGACAAGGTGTCACCTAATAGACTGCTATTCAAGTTGAAAAAACTTGGTATAGCCGGACCTCTTTTAAAATGGATTAAGGATTTCCCAGTAGGTCGTAGACAGAAAGTAAGAATAAATTCCAAGTGCTCCATCTGGAGACCAGTACTTAGTGGGGTTTCTCAAGGTTCCGTCCTAGATTCTTTACTTTTTATAATGTATGCTAATGATCTTCCAAGTATAGTACAGTCTCCAATGTTATTATACGCTGACGATGTAAAAATCTGGCGAGTAATAACTGAAGACAAAGACGCATGTGCTCTTCAGGCAGACTTAGATAATATGATTAACTGGTCTAAAGAGTGGCTGATGCCTATCAACGCGGCGAAGTGTGTCTACATGCACTTTGTGGATTCAAAGGTTAATAGGTACAACATAGGGGAAGTGCCATTACCCGTGGTCCGGTGTCATAAGGATCTAGGAGTGACAGTGAGTCATGATCATTGCCGGGAGGTCGCAGTTGAGGGGTTTTGAGCCCTTTGGGCTTTAAAACGGACATTCACTAAGTTAGATACTACAATGTTCACCACAGTATACACATCCTTAATGAGGACTAAGCTTGAAAACTGTGTTCAGGCTGCAGGCCCCTGTTTAAAAGGTGACTCGGATATCCTAGAAAAAGTACAGAAAGCAACTACCCGTGCAATCGCAGAACTCCGGGGTTTACCATACAAAGGGCGGCTTCAAAAGCTGGACCTCTTTACTCTGTCCTATTGCAGGTTAAGGGGAGACCTAATTTTGATGTACAGAACACTGAGAAATGATTTCGGACCTAACTTATTCTCTCTCTTTCTTCCCACTAGATCGGGACACCTCAGAGGACATAACAGGCGAGTATAAAAGCCAAGAACGAACAAAATACCCGTGACATACAGGTTTTCACACCGCGTCATCAATACTTGGAACCTGCTGCCTGAAGCAGTGAATTCCGCACCTTCAATTGACTCTTTCAAGAGAAGACTAAACACTCATAAAAGCATACCACAAACGGAATAACGTGGGCCGAAGGCCTTCTGTTCTTACTACACAAATCTGAATCTGATTGTTTGAAGTTGTGATAATCAGCTTGACCCAAAGACCTCTCAAGGCTATTCATCGGTGGGTTGTACGGATCTTCTGTAATTATAGTTATTGCAAAATGTATGGGAATGAAGGGATGGAAAGGCTTATACCTCTTGTTAATAAGCTTCAGGATGCTTTCGCATCTCTTAACCTTCCTCTGAACCTTGATTTACCTCAGATTGCAGTTGTGGGAAGCCAAAGTGCTGGTAAAAGCTCAGTGCTGGAAAACTTCGTGGGGCGGTAGGCTACAAATAAAATTACACTTCCTTTAAAGTGATTTCCTACCGAGAGGCAGTGGTATAGTCACAAGGAGACCGCTTATTCTGCAACTGGTCCATGATAAGTCAGGTAGGAGTTTTATTTAACTCATTCCACTGCTTTTAAACAGTTGAATATGGGGAATTTATTCACTGTAAAAATAAAAAGTTCACGGATTTTGATGACATCCGACGGGAAATTGAACAGGAAACGGACAGAATCACTGGCTCTAATAAGGGTATCTCAAACATTCCAATCAACCTCAGGATCCATTCCCCCAGCGGTGTGTTTTAATCATTTTGATCTTACTCCTACATTCTTTGTAGTCCTCAATCTTACCCTTATTGACCTTCCTGGAATGACCAAGGTTCCTGTTGGCGATCAGCCACCGGATATCGAAACTCAAATCCGCAACATGATCATTGAATTTATCGAGAGAGATTCCTGTCTTATTTTGGCTGTTAGCCCTGCTAATTCAGACCTCGCTAATTCCGATGCCTTGAAACTTGCTAAGGAATATGACCCACAGGGTCTGCGTACTATCGGGGTAATAACAAAGTTAGATTTGATGGATGAAGGAACAGATGCACAGGAAATTCTCGAAAATAGATTGCTCCCATTACGAAGAGGTAATCCAGTTGTTTGGTGTTTATTTTAGTATATTTGTTGCCTTAAAGTATCAGAATTCAAACTCTAGGTTATATACGTTTTTCCGGTCTTCGGATTTAGAGTTCTAGTTGACATGGCCATACATTACAATCCAAACTTAATATTATACCTTTAGGTAAAATATACTTTTGAGGCGAAGTCAAATGTTTTGGGTTTTGAGGACATAATCTTACTCCCCGAATTCTGACTATAGAAGTAAGACATATCTAATAATGATTAATTAGTAGAACAGGAAATTTTTTACTGCTGATATCGACATAGTACTTTATAGTAATTCGTAATTCATCAGAAATTATATTGTCTCATTACAACATTCCAAGACCTTCATTCATCTCAGTTAGTCTTCAAAAAATGCATAAATTAACTAGTGTATCAAACGTTTTGTTCTCTACATTAATCAAATCTTTTTACAGTTATGGAAATTCAAGCCTTCAGTTTAAGTGGATAAGGTTGTGTGATATATTCTAAGTCGTGCCACTCAATGTCCAACTACTGATTACAGTTATCACCCAGACCTTGGTCAGGTGGTCTACATCTGTCAATGAATTCATGCATTATTGCCGCGTTTTGGTTTGATCTCTATCTTCCAGCCTTCTCCACTAATACGCATCGCTTGTCGAGTTGAGTTATGGTCAGGGATATGCATTAAACATCCTAAACACTTCAGTCGATGACGATTCACTACCTCATCAAGCTGTTTTCTAACTTCATGTATTACTCTGCCTAACACTTCATAAAACTCAAGAAATTCTTTAAAGACGATTATGGCCAAAAACTTTAAGCCCACACTTGTCTTCAACTTTCATAGACCATTTTTCACAACCATAGTGTAAAGCATAAAAGACTGCTGCGCAGTATACACACCCTTTCGTTGGAAAACGTACCTCTCGCCTACTCCACAAGTGACGCAAGTCAACAGAAGTCATCTGGGGTTTCTAGATCTGTGCCAAAATTTCGTCGGATACCAATCCACTAGGGCTACTGAGAATCCCAAGGTCAGAGGATCAGAGTACTCTACTTCTTACCACTACTTCAGGTGTTAACTCATACCAGTTCTTCAGTCCTCATTTTTATGAAGAATATGATCTGGTACTAGTTTTCGTTCTGAGTCTTATCTGAGTTACACGATCTTTAGGATTCCAATCGAGGATTCGTAATAAACTGACATACTACTCATATGCCCCTATTTTTATATAACACTCCCCGTAACGTAAATTAACCATCCGGCTTTACCAACCAGTTTCATCGTCGACTGCTGGAATGATATTCGTAAGATACGACCGAGCTATCGAAGTCAGTGTTTCAAGATAGTGACACTAATTATCATTGCGTTCAAATTTACATCTCCAAACTTCAGCGTTACTAACATAATGTTGCTGCTGGAAGTGAACAATTCTCCGTAAGCAACAAGCACAAATTTTTTGAAAATCATCAGCTCCACTACCATATACTTTCATAGGTGTTTCTTACATGTCATAAAGAGAAAAGTCCGGTATCGGTGCTACGTCCTTGATCTGTCTACCAAATAACATACAGGAGAGAACTTGTCTCAATCTAGTTTGGAACAAAAAAGAGTATGGCAGCGGGTCACGCATCAGACAGAATCTTATTGTTTATAGAATAGCCTAGGGGTAAAACTAAGTGTTAGTATTGTACAAACTTTGAATTAAGTGAAATAGTGTCCCGAAAAATAGCTTCCGTCATTTTTCATAGCTTTAGTATATTTCTGTTCACATCATCTTCCATTTATCTGAGTGCATAGGTAAGGGAAAGTGACATGCGTTGTGATCCTTGTAAAACATTATCGATCTGGTGAACTGAAATGAATAATAAAAGAATCACCAGTCAAAAAGCTATGTCGAAAGTGCCTAAAAAGAGTTTCCACAGTGAGCCAAGTTTCTCAGCTTTCTGTGACGTACTGTAATTTTCCAGTATGTGGTTGGCATGATGTATCCTCCTTCGACCCTCAACTTTCACCATATACATTACGTTCCTTCTTCTCTTAAGTGCACATCCACTGGTCCACTGGGGAGGCGAGTATACTTCCTGTCTATTTTGGGATATTCCACGTTTCGCTCTGTGATGACGATTGAATTGAGTCTCCATTTTTCAGTTTCTTCCTCCTACACCTTATTGCTTTGGTTTTAATGACAAAAACACTTTGGTAAACTTACAGCAGCCCACTTTGTTGCAGGATACAACTGCATGCTTTTGCCAAAAATAATTAACATAAGATTTCGGCATTCGGGAGGAAACAGAGGATGTTGGTGTAGAAATATCATTAGGACATAATGCATGAAGTTTGGAAATCTTATTATAGCATATTTTATTGCAGGCATTTGATTTGAAAATATTATGGGAATTTTGAATGGGTTCAGAGGAAGGATTATGAAAACATACATCATTAAATAAACTATTCGAGGTGTCAATCTTTTAAATCTAGTCTGAACCTAATAAATCTAAATCATACTGATTTGTCAGATAACAAACACCGTCGAATTTATGTCCTTTGACTTGTAACTCGCATATAACTTCTCCTGAGGCATTCCGGGGAACAAGTTCGGTCGCTTCAATGCGTGAACATCCTAGTTTGTGGTACGTGTTTTTGGAAACCAATGTCATGTTGGAAGCCGTATCTGACTGAAGACAAATAGGTTTTTTTTCATTCGCTTATAAGTTTACATTCTTCCTTTTACTTTGAAATTCGACTTTAAAAGTCGCAAACATGCTCTTGATTTTGTGGCAAGATGAAATTCACGGATTTATTATATTCACGTGCTCCAAGTCTTCTAAAAAGTAGACAAACTTTAGTTGCATCGTCGAGATCTCAGCAGTCGACACGGAATATGTCTTTGAAATGATGGAAATTGGAATGAAATATGATACCAAATTCAGGATCATAGTTGGATTCACGAATGGGATTTGCGATGCTTTCATATGTATCTGGTTGATAGGTTGAAGTGGAATGAAATGAGAACTTGTAAGTGCATCTAGAAGCCTCATTTGATTAGGATCACTGTGCGTTTTCTGAATTTGTAGATTAGTTTTAAGGTCATCCATAGTAATAGACATTTTCTTTTTGAGCAATCACATCAGCGAAAAACCTCCGTCGTCACTTTTTTTATGGATTACTTTTTTCCCAAAATCCTCATCATAAAATTGTTATGTTCTATCCCCGTCAAATATCACATGACAAAAATTGCCGATCAAGATGCTGACTTCTATGGCCTTGTCTCTGTGCTGAACTAGTGATGAGTCGAACGAATATTAAGATTAGGCAACCCTCCCCAACCCCCTTGTTGGATTAGAATATTGACCGTTCCCCAAAGTTTTGTGACCGGCGTTCAAGACGCCTTCAGAGAGTAATTACTCTCGTCCCATCAATCTCAGATTGTCTCACTGATACTAGGTTACTTTTTGCTCGTGACTAGGTGTGGAAGTATTTGAACCTGCTAGTCAATGAATAAAATCAAGTTTTCACAACACTCAGCTAATGGTTCAAAGTTCTTGAGTCGAGATCATGGAGATACATGTGGCTTGAGATAAGTTGCACCGGTATGAATACACCCAATCTATATTTTTACTAATCAGTAAACATTTCATTTTACTTTACATGTTCACGCAAATCCTGTCGTTGCCATTATTTTGTTTCTTTGTTGTCACCATTCCTGATCTTTGCTCGCTAATGTTAATGCACAATGGATGCACGCTTACGTTAGGTCGTAAGATATTTCCTAACCTGTCTCATCGCATAATCCACTACTCGTTATTCCAAAAACTTCGGTTAATCTAAAACCCACCAACTGTTCAAATTTACCAATCTGAAGAGGTTTATACATATTTAGTAGTATTAATGAGTTAATCTGTACAATTATCTAATGCATTATAGGTCTTCCAAATATATTTTTCGTCCCACTTGATTCTGTACACATGACTTTTTCCGTTAGCTTGATAGTCAGATTCTGGATATTATTCGTGTAGTAAACCAATGATATTAAAAGCAATGGACTAGTATTTAACGTTCTTGTACAAAACAGTTTGTAGTTGGTCAGTTAATAACGTAGAGTTTTGGTAAATAAAATAGTTGTATTGAATTAGGATTTGTTGGTCCATCACTTCTTGGGCGAGGTTCCGTAGGTTATACAATTTAGTGGCTTTAAACATCATTAGACATGTCTCAAATTAAAATCCAATGGTGACTCTGCTGTAAAGCAAGTACACGATGAGATCTTTCAATGTAATGAAATTTCCAGGGTTTTTTAATCAAGTAGTATGTCAGAAAATAACAAGTATGTTCATCAATTTACAGATCATAGGCTTCTTCCCCCTTCTGTTTTTTCGGAATATTACCGTTCCACGATATGAAATATCAGCTCCATAATTCACTGAACTTTTTATGTTAGAAATAAATGGAAATAAATGAATATCTGATTTCTGTTCCCTTCTGAAACACATGGATGTATCCCATATCTGTTTATTCCACTCTTTGTATGTTGTTTTCTGGAAACGCGTAATGCCATTTGTCCTTTTGATTACTTTTCAACACTAGTCAGAAGTCGTGGAACTGGAAGTGGTACATCAATCATCAGAGTCCTATTCCAAAGCGATCGCTCACAATTTTACCTTAATTTAGTTGTAGATTGTCTTTCACATTTTTAAGATTCAAGCCTAATCACAAAATACTGAATACATATATATTATTATTATCAGAATGGGTTTTGTGGAGATTTTAGAAATTTCACAGATTGAAATCATGAGTCAGTTGAAGCTAGACCACCATTGAAAACCTGGAAGCACTGGACGGCCGTTTCGTCCTGGTATGGGACTCCTCAGCAGTGCGCATCCACGATCCCGCACCACCATTCTGATAATAATAATCAACTGCTCACTAGTGACTGACTTCAGGAAAAACTCCCGAAGTTCTAGTGAGAAGCCGTTACCAGTGGAGTTCAACCAAGTCTGTTGTGAGATAGGAACTCACTGAAGACAATGGTGTACGGTGGCGCAACTTCGTGGATTGGTTGAAGTTAGACATTAACACCGTTGGGTGCCGGCTCAGTGGTCTAATGGTTAAGTGCTCGCGCGCGAAGCCAGTAGGTCCTGGGTTCGAGCCCCGCGTGGTGCGGGATCGTGGATGCGCACTGCTGAGGGGTCCCATACCAGGACGAAACGGCCGTCCAGTGCTTCCAGATTTTCAATGGTGGTCTAGCTTCAACTGACTCATGATTTCAATCTGTGATATATATTATTCTTGGTCTTAGCTAGTTATTTTGAAACAGGCTTCACAAATTAGTGTTCACATCTAGTACTACGTAGAAATCCTATGTCTTTATAATATTTATTATCATCATTTCAGGTCTAGTGATTATTTTGTTTGCTTGTTTGTTTTTACATTTTACTCTCATGTTATCAGGAGTTCTTTTACGTCGTTATGTTGTAATTCGCCTCTTTAACCTTTCATACCTATTTTTTACTTGTGTAGGTTATATAGGTGTAGTCAACAGAAGCCAGCGAGATATAGATGGGCGCAAAAATATCACTGCTGCCTTGGAAGCCGAACGTAGATTTTTCCTTTCACATCCCAGTTATCGTCATATGGCTGATCGTATGGGGACTCCTTATCTCCAACGTATACTTAATCAACAACTAACGAATCATATCCGCGATACTCTGCCACATCTACGTAGTCGATTACAAGCCCAACTAATTAGTTTGGAAAAAGAAGTTTCTGACTTTCGTAATTATCGTCCAGACGACCCAGCTTATAAAACAAAAGCATTGCTACAGTAAATAGTTCCTTTTTCTTATCTTTATGTAAAATAAGTTAATGATTTATAACTGGAATTTATAATTATGTAGATTTTTTTATTTTTGTCTGCTGATCAAATTATTGTCCTAGTTACATTTGTCCAGTGGATTTTTATTCAGGCTAAACAATTTCTTCAACCTCCTAGCGGAAACTTAAATACTATCCTGTTCATTCTATTTTATGACGTGGTGTAGGCTAGATTTCAATTTGAAAAAAGCACTACACCTCATCTTTAGCTAACCAATTTAATAACTAAGTCTAATCGCTAGAAATTAAACTTTAGGTAGTAAAATAAAAGTGATAGTTTATATAAACCACCAAGTCTGTCTGTAACGAACTTAAAAATGTTAACATTGTCGCATGTATGGCTATTTGTTATGACTGCGTTATAAATTTATTTGCTGCTTGCTCAACAGAACAAGAATGATTTATCTCGACACAAAAAAGTCCAAACTGTAAATGAAGATTTATTTATGTACCAACCACTGAGTCATAATGATCAAAATGTACTGTCATATATCATTTTAAATTTCCGGTCATTAGATAAAATTTGATTACATTGAACTGGGATTAGTTAACAATAATTACTCAGTAACTTGATGTAAGCATATAATTTACAAGGTCAATAGACTAAATTCTTTGACTAGTAGATGTTAATAAATTACCGGATTATGCATTTTTGTTCTTCCTAGTAAGTTCACTGTAATTTTCTTACCAATACTGTTTAGTGAGTGTAGACAGATTTCACAAGTTTTCCCTCGTTTCCAAGCCTTTTCTTGTTTATTTCTCACTTACCTAACATCGTTCGAGCTAGACTATCGATGGGCACTTACAAAAAATTACCGAATCAATACTTGATGAGGGTTGATTGTTTTCTGTAGTGATATATTTTCCTTCTTTGATGTCCCCAACTTGAAACTCAAAAATAATCTGGGACTTGATTCTTATTCAATACTATCATTAGCAGTACTAATAAAAATGAGTCCACTATCTGGATGCATCCTTTAACCCCAGCTTTATTTAGTAATTGACTAATTTTTTCTTGTTTAAAAGCCGGTTTTACATTCTCAGTCTTCTCTACTATACATCTAAAGTCTAACTAATCATTATGAAAACGTTCAGAAAAAATGTTGGTGGAATGGTCAGACCCATCGAATTCTCTTGCTGTTATGAGATACCACCGTAATGAATATGCAGAACTTAGTTTTGAAGTGGTGAAGTGTTGGGTCAATGGTTATGAAATTCAAATTCCAGCTATTAATTCACAAGTTCAAACTCTCATGTTTCCATTAGGATTGTATCACCGACCCTGACACTTGAAGTACAACTCAAAATCAAGTACATAAATGTGTATCTGGTAAATGAGTTACCGAAAACTTTCAAGTGGTATTGCAACTTGAATTACTAAGTGGAGGTCGGCACAATTAAGTTCAAACCACATAATGGACTTAACTCCAAATTGTTGCAGTTAAAGGGGAAAATATAAATCCTGCAATATTTAATAATCATGTGTTTAAAATATTCACTAGCTCTGCTCCGTACTTTCCATTACTTTATCTTATCAGGATGGTTCAGTCATTTGAAGCAGAATTTTCGCAAAATATTAGTGGACATGTAGCTGACGTCAATACACAAATATTGTCTGGAGGTGCTGAGATTAATCGCGTGTTTCATGAACGTTTTAGATATGATCTACTCAAGGTAAGATAAATTGTATGATGAATTTAATGTATTTCAAATACCATACAATAGATTGAATTGTATTATGCACATGTTCCACTCATTCTGTAAATTGGTGTGTGCATATAAATCATTCATATGTTAGTGATTGGTTTTAAGCCGAATTTATTACTTAATGTCTATTGATCAAGAAAAGCAGTTTAGTTACTGGGTTACATAATTTTAAATAAAGATTATTATCTGATGAGTTCCCATTTTTAAGTATCATTCAGTACAAAACGTGGTTTACTGTGACTTTCCTAGAAGGAACTTAACGTCAAATTAGTTCACAAAATATATCTTAATAAAAAGTTAAAATATCCATTTTTATGATTATCAAGTAATTTTGAATTCAGGCATGAATAGTTTTTGGGGGTCCACTGAATCAGCTGAGTGAATTTGCTAATTCAGTTAATTGACTTGTACCACAAGTATTTCTTATGAGATGCACAGGTACGATTTGTCTATTATTCCTGATATTCACTTGTTAGCCATCAAGAATAATCTGTGTGATGATCTCAATCAGTGGCTAAAAGTTTAGGTTTAGGTAATATAGATTCATTTCAAGTGGTCTGGATGCATTCACTCTTTATTTTGCTCTGGATCTTGAGTTCCGATACTTTATATATACTTTTTCACTCTGCCATCTTGTTGATTCCTTGTAGTTGTACTGAAGCGGTATGGGGACTTGGATCAACATAGATTCATAAAACATTTTCACCAGTGTCATTAAGTGATCGTAGCGCTTTATTTCCAGTTGATTGAAGGTGGAATCGTGCACTCGGACACTGACTCAGTGGTTCTACTGGTTAAGTATTCTCTGCAAGACCTCGAAGTTCTGCGTTCTATCCTTAAGGTGGTCGTGGGTTACTCACTGATAAGGACTCCCGTAATAGGATGAAATATTTGTTCATTCCTCCCCAGTTTTCAGTGATACCTCAACTGAAATCAATCTGTGGTGAATGTAACCTGTTAATTTTGAATTAGTTTACTTTGTTTCTGCGAAACATATTTTTTATTTCATAATTTAAACTTAATTTTTCACACATATAAGTGTTCATAATCTTCATCTCATGTGAATGTAGTGAAATGAAGTGAGGCTAATTAGTTTAATATTCAGATGTAAATTCTTATTTTCAAGTATATGATCTAGCATCAATTGATACTTTTTCCATAAGTTATCTAGTTTTACTTTAAAACTTCTTAATAGGTTCACTTTTCTTCTCACTGTGGTACTCAAATCCAAGATTCTGTACCTCCAATGCATTTGTTATAACTTTATTAAGAGGTCCTTCTTCGCCAGTTAAATTCTAAATGGTATATTTGAACTAAGTATTTAGTGTATTCTACAGTTCTCAATTTCCTTGTGGTCCGATGATGACAAATAATGAATTTCAGTTTCGTGGGACAGTATATATGGTGATTAAACACAAACTTCTATCTTTCTGTAATACTCCAGCACGAAATTCCCATTTGATTCATGACGATTTGTCAAAAATTGGTAATCAATAGCTGTCAACTAGATAAGTTACTGTATGTCGTATAGAAAATTTCATTAAAATTTAAGAAAAGCATCTAGTGTGCCGAGACAACTATCTACAATATCACCAGAATCATCAATTAAATAAATCTACGTCAAACAATTCATACATCGAGATTTTTTCATTCAAGGTGTAAATCATCCCCTCTTATTGTATGAATCGATAAGTTTCTTTAAACAGTGAACAACTTAGTATTTTAAATAATTGTTGGGAGCCTTTGGAAATTCCTCTAAAAACCTTCGGAAGCTAATAGAAGGCTGGAAACACTTCATCTAATTAGGGTTCAATAGAGACTTCCAGAGATTTCTGGAATAACGATGGATTATGTGCTATATTGTTATTAGATAGTTATCTACTTTTTTTTTACTAAATTTTGCACTTTTCCAGAATATCAAGATTACCCATAAACCTAAAAATACACTTTTGTTTTGTACGTAAACTGACGTCAAAGATAAGGCTCCTTCCGTATTTCTCATCTTCTGTCTTCCGTTCTGGGCTCAAATGTGAAGTTCTGTGGCACTGATAGGAGATTCAAAAATCTGTGACCAGAGTTCATGTTTAAATCCATCAATTATCCTTATTAACTAGTAAACTTCTAATCTATAGGAATCCTTATAGACGACAGATGAACATTTCCTCCTATACGTACAAATCTGTGTGTAAAATTTGTCTTTTCATATATGTTTATTAACAATTATATGGTTATTACTGTATCACTTTTTATTTAAAGATTGAATTTGATGAAAAAACTCTACGTAAAGAAATCGCTGTTGCTATTCAAAATATTCATGGTGTCAGGTAAAAAAATTATTTTTAATTTCTTATAGACGATTGAATAGGTAATAAACTCAAAAGATTTTTGTTCATTTATAAATTGAATTTCACTGTGTAGATTTTACTTATTTTATTGATTACTTGTAAATGTACATGAAGTTATTTAGGTGCGTTTAAGCATCAAGTAAGTGGTCTTTGCAGAGGATTTTACCGATGACCATCTATTGATGATTTCGTATTCAATAATGTAGTGATTGAAATAGTACATTCTCCAAACCTAATCTATTTTAATTGTGAAGTTTTAATTGTTGTTTTGAACAACATCAATATCACTAGCTCACGTATCCCCAAGGGGTATTCATCTGGATTGTAAAAGTTTGGTACAGTCTGTCCAGTAAATACAGAAGCGTCATCAAATTCGTTCTCCATATTCCACTGTTCACTTTAAACTCTCTGGTAACATATACTCCTATATCACAAGGCAATTAACAGTATCGTTTTGGAACGATGAGGATTATTTTTTTGTTGTTCGTGATAAATTACCATTGTAAGCTTCATTTTCTACACATACTCTTATATTCAAGTCGACCGGTTTGTTCTACTGATCCATGACCATTTACTAGTAGGGTCGATGGTAGCTGGATTAGTTGTAGTGAAATCTATTTGGACGAGATAAAACGCAAGATGATTTCAAATTAACCTGGTTTTTTTCATATTACATTCTTTCACGTTAATTCAGTGTAAAATACGTTTTTATAGTCCCACTATTTTGAATCATGAATGAAATATATCGACTAGTCATCAAATGCCAGTAGAACCTGTGTGTAAATTTGCATTCGGCTAATACGTTATTACCGTATTTTCAAAATGAATAAAGCCTTCATCTGCCAACAGTTTTATCTTCTTTCTTGTCGTACGAATCTCAATATTCCCTTTTCATCAAGTATAATCCGAATCGGAAACCAAAATGTTATAAGAATATATATAATCTTAAACTTGCAAAACGTCTTAACCAGTTTGTACTTATTACGCAACTTTGTTAGATAAACTCTCAGGTTTGGTTAATCTTCTGTAATCATAAATATTACAGTATAAATGTGATGAGAACTGTGTAGAAATCGATCACTTGAATTTTATCTATGGCTATATTAAAAATCGATTTTGCTCGATCAATCAAATTTGACGGAATAATGTAATTCAGTTTATCCTAAAGATTCGCTTTTAATACTATTTTTAATACTATTAATGGGAACTCAGGAAAATTGTGCTCAACATAGATTAAACCATTCTCAACAAACAACGTACTACTGCCACCATGATTCGCCATCTTGGCTGAGGTAATAGATAAAAGTTTTAAAGGGTTATTTGAACTAAATTGGAAATACTGATTATCTAATGAAATCTTGACGAAAACTGTCATGTGATGTGTAAATCTAAGCTGATTCAGTTATACTTCATAGAACATCATAATTAGAAATGACAAGTTCAGTATTCAGTAATGCTTAGTCATTCATTCGTGTTCACAGTCTAGTTTTAAAATGTTCTAGTCACAGTCCAACTAAGTTTAATGTTTAATGATACAAAGTTAAATTATCACTGTTAGCTGTTTGAAGTAATTCATCGTTAATTGTTGAATACGAATTCAACCCGAATGGAATTAAGGTATTAGACAAGTTGTTGTGTTTGGTATTGAACATAGAATTGATTCAAAAGGTGAAGTTACTTTCATACTTTTATATATGAACGTAACGCGAATTGTCGTGTACTAGTTTATCTACATTATGGTAAACATTCATCTAACATACATATATATGTGCTGTATAGAGATGGGTTAAATTTATTGACATTCGAAACAGGTAAACTATGATAATTATAATTATTTTTGCTATTCAATTATCATTATTATTATTACCACTGTTATTGGTATTAGTATTAGTCTTGCTATTATGTTGCTAATTCAGTAACTTGTGCATAATTGTTTGTTTGACAATATATGTAATAAAGGCCTGGATTGTTTACACCGGATATGGCATTTGATGCTACAGTACGAAAACAGATTGAAAAACTTCGAATTCCATCATTAAAATGCGTTGACATGGTTGTATCTAAATTGACCGATGTTTTGCAACAATGTAGTGATAAGGTGAGCAAATATAATCGATTGATTAATTACACAAATAAATTATCCATTTTATGCGACGTTTTTTTATTATTCAAATATTTATTAAGGAAATATGCTTGTGTTTACACAAATGGAAAGCGATTGCCATGTAGAAAAATCCCAACTAATAGCATGGGAGTCCTTAAAATAAATTAGCCATGTTTACCTTAAATTTTTTTTCTTTTTAGTTTAAAATCAAATGATTAGGCCACGTAGGTCTTTAAATTTAGATTGTCGTTACTATAGATGAGGTAATTGTTTCCAGTCTCCCATGATACTGTTCAGTTTTTAACTGTCAAGTTTTTGTGTTTACAATGGCTTAGAAGTTTGGCAACTTTTTCATTTGGCACATGAGAAAATAACTCGTTGCCAAGTGGTAGGGAAATTTCGAGAAAATAAAGAGCTAATATTTCAATTTATTTTCATTTACATGGTAAAGTTATTCACAAATTCAACGAAATATACTTCTGTAAATTGATACTAACTTTCTCTTCAAAATGAATGTCGAATCACAAATCTGTATCCAATGTTTGTTCTGTTAGGATTTCTTCAGCTTATATATTTCTTGTAGGGTAGTTATTATCCTTCGGTTTTTAAATCACCCTCGTAATTGTTCCCAACGATGTACTAGCAATAATTTTCTGTTGTAGTGAAGAGACGTTTATTGGAAACTGGAAATATTTTTTGAAATCTTTTTATGATGGAAGCGGTATTTAGAGATGAAGTCGTTTAGGTAAGTTCACATCCCGCAATCCTGAGCATATTTTTAACTCAATAATTAAGGTACTTAACTCTGAGTAATTAAGTTATCAATAGTTGTACTATGTTCAGCACCATTTGCCTACTTATGTAAAACGTTTATCCAACAAACAATGAAAATAACCTGCGGTGTCATTGAAAAAGAATTAAAAACAATTCAGTGAAGAAAATGTTTGGCGATTCATTCAAAAAGCGTTTGCCTTGTGTGGCCAATAAAACGTGCTCCACAAGAACAGTTAAGCGTATAAATAAACAATGCCAGAGTTTGTCCTTGAAATATCCGTCAATGATGAGACAGTTGGAAAGGACGGTATGAAGCTAGCCAGCATAAAAAGTTTCCCTCAAAGGTTTCGCTGGACGATTCTACAAAATCCCTACAGCAGTACCTCGGTTGAAGATGAACCCAATATTCATGAAGAGTCGTTGTCTTAGGAACTGTGTTAGTTCTTGCAAATCGTAATTCTCGTTTCATGTTTCGCTCAACAAACCTGGATATATAACCGTTTTTGAGGCATATCTGTTGTAGGTTGAATATTTCCTCTATCGTGTATCGTGTCTTCTGAGCCTGTTCGTCTGGTCTTTTCTGATAAACATTGAATCAAGTTTCTCTTTCGGTTTAATGGGACTCAGCTATGAAAATTCTGCTGTGGTTTGGGCTCCCGAGCAGTATTTCAGCCCTCATACAAATCGAATGTCGAAGTGTGGCGCATAGATATTTGGTGCCTCCTTTTACCGTTTGGTGTTCTATTTCATATGACATCGAGGAACTGTGATTTGGAATTCGATTCTGATTGCAACTAAATTTGATGGATTGATACCAACCAGTGAATTTATCCAGAATGACATTGAGGTCACTGTTTTCATTACAAATAATCAAGTGTCATCCATATACCTTTTGTTTAAGTAAAAGTTGCCAATCGTTGTTTTAAGTACCGTGTTCTTAAGATTGGTCATGAAACAGTCCTCTAGAAAGTGTTGAGTGGTTAACCTGTAGCGATGTCATCAGTTTGCCTGTAGAACTCGTAATTAAATCCATACTGGACATTTGAATGTACAACGTGTGGGTAATCCCTTTTGATAATACATAAGGCCCGTATTATACATGAATAATAATCATAACAATAGTAATAAGCCATCATTCTTCCATTGTTTTGACACTTAATTTTCATAAACTTTTATTCGATTGTTAATACATCCTTCTGATGTTCTTAATCTTCTCAATTTTAATTCTTCCTTATCAGTTTCACGTTTTTAATTTATTCTTCACTCATCACATATTTGTCAGGTGGACAAATAACAATTGACACATTTGATTTCGTCTTATTATCGCTCTTCATTTCTCGATTATTACCCTATTTTCCTTGACAAATGATATGATGTAATCGTACTCCTCCTTTAAGTAGATTATTTCAACTGTAAATCAACTATAAATGCAATTGTACATCAGTGAAGGCAAGTTAGAAGAAGCATAAGATTACGTGAAAAATGCACAGTTACCGCTACTAGTAAGGCTTTAACATTATTAACAAAAATTGAGTAGTCCAGTGATTACCGTGCGGGTTTGATATCACATGTTCTCTGAATATGTTCAACATTTCGAAGCCTAGGATCTTTCTAAATCATCGAAATTTGAACTCTCCCCTTTCCCTCTCCCAACGACCATTGGATTCGGTGGTATGTTATCAGTTATTCACGATAATTTTAATATAGCATGGCTAACCGTGTTTATGCACTAGTAGGTTATTTGCTATTCTTCAAAATAATGCTTCATGGTTTTGTCTTCTCCGTAATTCCTTTCTAAATTGATTTGTGTTAATGCTTCAAATAGAGAAGTTTGTACTGAATTATCCTGCTACCACTTATTTTAAAAACTTAAACCCTCACTTATGAAAAAGAACATTATTGGAGTTTGAGAAACTAATTGTTTACTCAGCTTGATTTCTGTATAAATATTTAACAGTCATATGATCTAAATGAAAGACACACTGAATATTTGCTCATTCATTCTTATGCTAATTTATATTAAATGGGTTGTGTATCTCATTAAATAATTAATCAATATATCACTTATCGATTGGTATATCCATCTTTTGCCTTTGTTCACTAATAAATCCAAATCAATATGTATATGTTTATTTATTTACTTAATCTATTTACATTGTTTATCTTACATGTACTTCATAATAACTAATTCGTATGATGTATTATTCTTTATTTACGTTTTTAATTCAATCAGTTAAATAAACAAAAAATAAAACTTGGAACATTTATGTATCGGTTCAAATTGTCAGTCTACAGTATAACGAGATACCTGAGTAGCACATGTAAAAACAGTATTAATGGTTATAGAAAAGATTAAACATGTAGGATATAATTTGACAATATGGATTCGTAGAATTAAGAATTTTCTTTCTGATAAATAAGGAACATATGATTTAAGGAAAGACAAAGAGTGCATGTACATGTGTCATTGCGAATGTTTCTCAGCCATGACATTCAAAGTCTCTAAGCAATAGTTATGATACTGGTGTAGATCCCAACCTAGTAGTCTGGACGTAATTACATGACTCAATCCAGTTATCACTGACTTTATGAACTAATGCCACATCTTGATTTGAGTCTTTTATTGTTTTTGAATAAGACTATGCATTTAGTCTATTTTTCACTTGTCACAATTTGCATCTACATTTATGTTATAGCACTTTTGATATACAAGGTTAAGAAACTAAACGATATATTTACGGTTAAAAGTATCGCTTTTTTGTGTTAAATGATTCGATATACCGTTATTATTATTGGCAATGCATCCTATTAATAAAAATTTATTGATCAAATGTTTTTGCATAGTAAAATGATTCAAGAAGTAGTGACTTAATAGGTAAAACACTCGGCTTTCAGCAAGTTGGTTTTAGATAAATATTTGGACTGTATCAGAAAACAAAGGATACTGTGGCAAGATGAAATTCACAGATTTATTATATTCACGTGCTCCAAGTCTTCTAAAAAGTAGACAAACTTTAGTTGCATCGTCGAGATCTCAGCAGTCGACACGGAATATGTCTTTGAAATGATGGAAATTGGAATGAAATATGATACCAAATTCAGGATCATAGTTGGATTCACGAATGGGATTCGCGATGCTTTCATATGTATCTGGTTGATAGGTTGAAGTGGAATGAAATGAGAACTTGTAAGTGCATCTAGGAGCCTCATTTGATTAAGATTACTGTGCGTTTTCTGAATTTGTAGAATAGTTTTAAGGTTGTCCATAGTAATAGACATTTTCTTTTTGAGCAATCACATCAGCGAAAAATTCGCACAAAGTAATTTCCGATTACAGAAATAGCGAGTCAATAAACATCTTTTTCAATACCGAAAGAAAAATGTTTATAGAAGTCTCCTACAGATCCATATTCTGTCTTTCATTGTTGTAAAAAGAAATAACAGGCTACCCCAAACATGAATTTGTACTTAGACGATTCTTATACCTTTTCCCAGTTGTATCATCCTCAGTACAAAACATCCCGTCTAGTTGACTGGCCATTTTACCGGAAATCATCATTATGTTTAGTAATTGCGTTCATATGTCGGTTACTTTTTTGTCTTTTGTTGAAATTCGTTTTGCTAATTCATGGAGGTCTGTTCAATTCCAAAACAGTTTTCGTCACGGATTTACATGAGTCCAGATATTTATTTGCTCCCATTTGGAAACTTCGCAACTGTATATATTTATGGAGCTGTGGTGTATTAGTTCTACTTCCAACCACTAGGTTGCAGGTTTGTATACCCTTGCTTCTTCAGTTTGAAGAATTGGTTAGTGTTCACCAGCTCTCACACGTTAGGCGTAACTCAAAGCTGAGTACACGATTCTGTACTCAGTAAGTTGCATCGTTATCTCATTTCAGTTGAACATCATTTTTTACTGGGAGCACAATATTTTAGACTCATAATTTGAAATCCTTCGGTTCACGTTCTTAACTGTAGTCAGTTCATAGAACAGATCGAAAGTCATTCAATAAGTAGCAACTGAATCATAACATTACAGATACCGGCTTCCCAGTAGAACAACTAGAGATCTATCTCGATTCTAATACTTGATCACCGCATGGCAACTAATTACCCGAGTTCGTGAAAAACGATTAAATCTGAAGATAACTTTCACGATACCATTGAATTCTAATTTATACGTTTCCATTACTCTTCGGATTATACCAGTGTGTGAAGAAACGTTTTTAATAAAAATGGCTGTCTTTTTTGTTTTATTATTAACATTTAATTACTCGTTTCTACACTGACTTCATTACCATCGAGTCAAGTATTATATGTATATAACTATCCTACAGCAGTTTGGTCTAGATATTCTCTTTAATATTCTTTCATCCGTTTATCACCAGATTATACACGTTTCGCTTACGGAATACTTAATGAATCATAAGTTATCAACATATCATCAAATGTTAGTATGAAATTAATGTTGTTGATGACTTAATGTCTTTTTCTGTATATACTTGTGTGTTTATATTACACGTGTGTAGTATGTGTGTGTGTATGTATGTATGAATATGTATATGCATGCGTACTCGTGTACATGAGTATCTTTTCATAAAACACTTTCCTGAATTTTTTTTCTTCACCAACTTTAATCCAGTCATCTAATCTGTATGTTACGTCACAATTGCCATGTAATCCTCTCGCTATTACGTATGTACGTTTCCACTTTTTATTTGTTTCACTTCGATTCTAATATTTGTTGTTGTATATTTATCTGTATGTAATAGATATTCTTTCTTCGTTTTACCATTTAGTTTTTATGTCAGCTAGTCCTCAAGATGTGATTGTGTTTACAGTGTAGTAAGATTATTAGTTTTTTTTCTTGTCATTATTGTTGTTTATACAAATTAACCCAATTATTTTTGTTTACCAAACTAATATTTTATAGCATGATACATACAAAAGTGTAGAGAAAGTTGTTCTTATCTGTTTTTCTGAAATGAATTATTTGTCTTTTTCTAATACTCCATCAAATTGTTACGAATAGAAATATATGTAGATAATATATTCAAGAAAGTTCCCATTCTCTGCTCAATTGTTTTTCATACATTTCATGCTTCTTGATGAGCTCGTACAAAACAAAAACAGGAAGATCTTGCAGAATAAACCTGTATTCGTTCTGTTTCAAAGCTCCATTTTCCCTGGTAAAGAATAATTGTTTGAAATAAGTCTACCTGTTAAATAATCTTACTTTTACACATTCATTGACATTCATTCATGATAACCTCATCCTAATTACTCCACTTAAGTATGTAATCATATATTTTTATTATGCTTATGAGTAGCTGTAACCTCATCTAGAATGAACGGACAGCAAAGTTCTGTCTGCTAAAAATACTGACAGGATTCAAAGTTTTCTGTACCGTCTGAATCACTATTCAGTACAAATTGAAACGATTAACAAAATAACTCATTGATAAAAATTGCAGATAATTGTTTCCCTTCATGAACTTTAATTAGGCCAGGACAACAATTGGGGGAGTATGATGTAAACTCACCATATATTATAGTTTCTCTTCAGCTGCTTTCAACTCTATTCGTATTGAAGTGTATGCTCCGAATTTACACTTTAATATGAATATGGTTGTAAGTAGCTGAAGAGAAACCACGATATATAGTGAGCTTACATTATTCTCCCCCCAGTTTTTTATTTTTGCCTAATTCAAATTTATTTCATTGAAACCATGACCTGATCAATGTTAGATCACCACTAAAAACCTGGAAGCACTAGACAGCCGTTTTGTGATACTATGGTACTCCTCAGCAATGCCCATTCGCGAATTTGCGCGCGAACACTTAACCCCTAGAACTATTGAGCCAGTATTCAACAGTGTTAATATCTAACTTCTGTAATATCGCACGACCATCTATTGTCTTCAGTAGGTAACTGCTTCACACCCGACACGGTTATACATTTATATTTTGTTCTAGCCTAACTTTTTTCGATATTCCTCTGTCTTCGTTCTTGAGGATAAACAACAGGGAAAACCTGAACTTAAATAAATTATATCCTAGATACATAGTTACTTTACAAAAATATACAAGCCTTTTGCAATTTGTACACTAGATGTTGCTTAACAAATGATTTATCAAGTCCAGTAGAAGAAATATGATTCATCTTTTTGTTAATATTTAAGAAATTATTTGCAGTATGTCGTATTTACGCATGATAACCCTTGATAATTATTGTTTTTAGAACATGTGTTGTAATCATTGTGTTCTAAGGGCTGATTTTCATTTTATTGGATTAAATGTTTCATTTGACAAAAATATATCAAGCTTTTATCACATGCATAAAAGAGTTTGTTTGGATAAACAAACATTAATTCGTGTGAGCTTTTTTATAAGCGTACATTGGTTTTCTACCTCTCTTATAAATCAACCACCAATTTAAGACCAAATACAGTTACTTTTATATGAAAATATACCACTCTGTGTTAACGATGAAGGCATAGTGACAAATAACCAATCATCTACATGAAATAAATTGAATGTTTTCTATAATCATTATGCTTAATTCATATATCACGTGTTTGTTATTTGTGTTCATCCAAGTGTATGTGTGTAGGTGATCGTACATTCCAGATTGTGCATATCATAAATGAATTCGAGAAATTGAAGTCATCATAAAACTTCAATGTGATACTAGTTTATAGAGAAATAATAATTGAACAAAGTGAAAATAATACCTGTTTACATATTCAACCACTAATTTTCACTGAACCAGTCGATCAGTTATTAAAATTTCAAAAGACATTGAATAGGTGTCTTTTTTAAAAAATTTTAATCATCTATTCTGTTGTCTTTCACTGACTAGTACAGTCATGAATAAAACTTTTTTTTTATAAAAACGAACACGTACACAAAATTCTCAGATTCTACGACAATTACATCACTGTTTATAACTTTTGAACAAACTGAGGTCACGTTCATTAGATTGTTATGTAATATTCATGTAAGTTCTACTCACACTGATTATAATCTCCACTCTACCAATACAATTTTATTTGTCATTCATACTTAGTCCTTCCATAGAAATATATGCTTTCTATGCGAACTCATCGGTTTTGTATCTAAATCGTTGTGATTTAAAATCACAATGAAAATATGATGACAACACGAATCAAAGTGTTTGTTTTTCCAAGTAAAATAAATTTTCAATATCATTGGTTGGATTTTTCACAAATGATTCAACAGTCAGCAATAACTGCTTGGCATTTCTTAAGTATGATTGTTTCGAGTCTTTTTAACACGTATATTTACTGATGAGAATGTGATTTAAAAGGAAAATACCATCCAGTAGTGCTCGGTTATTTTGAATAATTTTCAGTTATTTATTGTTTGTGTGATAGTGGAGAAGATTTGTAGCTCAAGTGAATGATTTGGGTGAAGTTTCATTCGCTGAGCTGATTAACTAGTCAAGAAAGAGGTCGACAGGACAAGCTATGAGTCACATGTGGAGAAATTCGAATACTTCACTTTTACTTGAAGTTTGTGATGATGTTGTTCAGAAGAACAATAAAAAGCTCCACGACCAAACCATCCAGCTCAGAGAACGAATCCCCACCGAAATATTTATTTAATCATGATGATTATTTTAACACACGATATATATATATATATATATATATATATATATATATATATATATATATATATATATATATATATATATATATAATATAAATGATCTATTTCTATACGGAGCAATTTGGGTGAACATTTAACTGATATATATATATATATATATATATATATATATATATATATATATATATATATATATATCAGTTAAATGTTCACCCAATTGCTCCGTATAGAATAGATCATTTATATTATTTATTATGATTACTGCAAACTGTTTCCTGTGGTGTATGCATTATCTAAAGTCTGAAACATCTGTTGTCATGATTTGTATTTATCTGATAAATGAAGTCATACTTGATTTTAACGTCAATTAACCATTTTACTTAGTTATCTGTATGATTAGATATTTCATATGTGCACACATTTTACTATCTAATCTTATTGAGAAAAATTAAGTTAAAGAAAATCTGATTAGTTATGTTGATAAAATATTCCAACCCCTTCTACATAGATACTCATACATACACTACCATATTATCTTATGATGTATCATTTAAAGCTTATCGCCTCTAAAAAAACGTATCAGCCTGCATGTACGTCTGTTTTTAGATGGTTGCAATTTGTTTCTGTTTTTCATAATAACTCTGAAATTAAACTTTTACTTACCTTTGGTAACTATCTATGTATCTGTTCACCTTTTTAAAGTATATTTTCTTATCTACTCTTTATTATGTTACATTATAATTTTTCTTTCACGCGTTCTCTCTCTCTGTTTCTTTATTTTTAAATTTTGCTTTCATCATAGGTAGGACGATTTCCACGGCTTCGTGAAGAAATTGAACGTGTTGTCAATATGCGGGTTCGTGAATTAGAAATAGCTACTAAAGAACAAATTCAAACATTAATTGATTTTCAATTAGCTTATATGAATACAAATCATGAAGATTTTATCGGTTTCCAAAAGTAATTAATTTGTGAGATAATTCTTTATTTATTTAGAAGTCATAATAAAGATGTATTCAACAACTAGAAGGTAATAAACAATATATGGTTATTTGATCAATAACATCATGGTATTTAGAACAATTTACTAATCTACCCTCTAATCACAATCTACAAACTCACGTTTAGGGAAATGAAAATCTAAGCATTTAGTTAATAAGCAAGGATTTGAGATAAAATATTTGTTCTAGATTACAGTGGTTAAGGTCGAATTCTCATATTTTACTCTTTGAAATAGTCACAAAGTTTCTTTTGATGAGGAATTCGCTAGTAGTAAGAGATCTCCTGTTGTACTATGTTTATAGTATTGAGGTTTTTGTATTATTTACCGTTGACTCATGATTGTTCACACATCCATTAAAATCTCTTCCAAATGTTTGTCATTTTAGACGTGAATAGTTTTAAACAAAGAGATTAGGAATCTTGGCACTAAAATTGGGAAATTTTATGTTCAACGGATTTTTTTTACCTTTGTGAAATAATTCAAAATGCAAAGAGCCAACACTACAACAAATGTTCACAAGACCTGACTGTAATTAAACCCGAACAGTGATTTCCTATGCTTTGTCTCTAACCCTCTCTGTTGATAAACTATCTATATTAATATGGTAATTTTCCAGTTTTGTGCAGTATAAATATCCTACCACAGTATATGTAGCCGATATGTTTCGATCGTTCATCTGCCTCACGCTACATTTGACTTCATCTAATTCACAAAATGTAGATGTCCTTTTATCATGTCTATCTGGCTGTATCTTCTCCCATGTGTGCAATGAATCCTATCAGTTCGGTCTTACGAAATGTTATTCTTTGTCTCCTTAATACTTTATCCAGAATGTATGTTCGAGCTTGCGGCGTCAAACCTTGCCCTAAATTTGACATTACACTTCAATAACCAGACTTCCAAATACCGAATCATATGTACTTCTAAAACCCACCTACAGGACAATAGAGGTTATTCACTTGACATCATTTAGCCATTGTGGAAAGCCGTCGTGTTCATTCCTAAGGTGTATGGAGAGTTGACATCAACTCGTAGTATTGCGAATGTAGGTAGATCACTTAATTTAAAACCAGAATGGACATGTTTGGACTGAACATATATCTCTTGTAAGTTGTTCACTTAGGTGAGACAGTAAGAGTTCAGAAGGATAGGAATATTCAGCATTTTCTTTTTAAAATATCTGGTTACGCTCCCGCTATAACTGGGGTTCAGGTGAAATGAAGACGAAATTTAGTGTATGCTTTCTGATCTAAAAGCTAGGCCTCCAGATTTAGTTATTATGTTTAATGACATTAGTGTTTAGGTAAGTTGTAAAGACAACTTAAAAAATACTATGGTGAGGTTTTCAATGTTCTACAACAACTGAACTATGATAATGGTCATCTCATACAACTTTTTCTAACTATCTGCTTTTAGCATAAACTAAGTTCGTAAATAGAGCGAGGTACTGTTTGACTTAGGAGCCTCTGACATTAACTCAATAGGGGAATCGAATAGACCATATTTTCATCCGTCGGCATATAGTTAAACTCCACCTTTTAGTTTTAAGTCTTTTGTATAAGCATCAGTAGTGTTCGTCGGTCAGTCTCCACCAGAAAGCTATGAAAAATCAGCGGATCTGGTTGCGTCATGAATTGGGAGATCGTGGGAAATAGATCTCGATCCGATTCAGAACATGATAAGGTTTCAAAGTAACCTAAGTGGATATTACTTAACTAACTTATGAGTTGTGGTGGAAATTAACCGAGGGTATAAAACAACAAAACTCCGCATGGAGTCCGTCCAGGGGCTACTGCCGGTCCCAAGCCCGGATAAAGGAGGAGCGTTGGGCATGGGGTTAGCGTCCCCATCCCGTAGAAAACTAACTCGCTAAAAAAACGCTAACCAGAAAAAATTATTCAAACCTTTTAAACTCTGCCCTGGGAGTCAGAAGATCTTCATTTAGAAGAATTATGACGCCTCATGATGAAAGCCGAATTCCTTCGGAAATTACGAGGCCGATGCCCCTTCTGACAACCAGAGCGATCATTTATTTAGGTACATTGAGTACTCGTACAATGTGGGAGACTGCGAGAGTCTTCCAAATTGCTGCTGAAATGAGGAGATACAAGCTGGAGGTACTTGGGATCAGTGAAACACATTGGACACAAGTTGGACAACAACGACTAACTACAGGAGAGCTCCTGTTATACTCCGGCCATGAAGAAGAAAATGCACCAAATACACAAGGAGTTGCATTGATGCTGTCCAAACAAGCGCGAAATGCGCTTATAGGATGGGAATCTCATGGACCAAGGATCATCAAAGCCTTCTTCAAAACAAAGAAAGAGGGCATTTCAATGAACATCATCCAATGCTATGCACCTACCAACGATTACAATGAAGACGCTAAAGATCAATTCTACAATAGGCTGCAGTCAATCGTCGAGAAGTGCACAACAAAGGACCTGACCATTCTGATGGGAGATTTAAATGACAAGGTTGGAATGGATAACACCGGATATGAAGACATCATGAGAAAACACGGACTAGGCTAAACGAACGAAAATGGTGAGAGATTTGCAAACCTACGTGCCTTCAATAAGCTGGTCATAGGCGGCACCGTATTCCCACATAAACGCATACACAAAACCACATGGACTTCACCGGATCACTCTACACAAAACCAAATCGACCATATCTGCATCAACAAAACGTTCAGGAGGATTATAGAGGACGTGAGAACCAAAAGAGGAGCTGATATAGCATCAGATCATCACTTGCTAGTCGCCAAGATGAAATTGAAACTCAAGAAGCACTGGACAACGGGGCAGACAGTATCACAAAAGTTCAATACGGCCTTTCTCCAGGATACTAACAAACTCAACAAATTCAAGATAGTCCTCAGCAACAAGTTCCAGGCCTTTTATGATCTACTCAATGGAGAAGGAACTACTGTGGAGAGCAACTGGAAGGGGATCAAAGAGGCAATCACTTCAACATGTCATGAGGTCCTGGGTCACAAGAAGCACCACCACAAGGAATAGATCACTGTTGGTACACTGGATAAGATTCAAGAAAGAAGGAACAAGAAGGCAGCAATCAATACCAGCCGAACAAGAGCAGAAAAAGCCAAGGCACAAGCTGAATACACATAAGTAAACAAACAAGTGAAGAGGAGCATCAGAATTTAGCAACGACGGCGGAAAAGGCTGCAAGAGAAGGAAACATGAGACAATTGTATGACACGACAAAGAAACTGTCTGGAAATCGACGCAAACCAGAACGACCAGTGAAAAGCAAGGAAGGCGAGGTAATCACCAACATTGAAGAGGAACAAGACAGGTGGGTAGAACACTTCAAAGAACTCTTGAATCGACCAGCTCCACTGAACCCACCCAACATCGGAGCAGCGCTCAGGGACCTCCCAATCAGTGTTGGCCCACCAACAATTGAAGAGATCAGCTTGGTCATCAGACAAATCAATAGTGGCAAAGCAGCAGGGCCAGACAATATTCCAGCAGAGGCACTGAAAGCAGACGTAGCAGCAACTGCAAGGATACTCCACATTCTCTTCAATAAAATTTCGGATGAAGAACAAGTACCAACAGACTGGAAAGAAGGACTTCTGGTCAAAATACCAAAGAAAGGCGTTCTCAGCAAGTGTGATAACTACAAGGGCATCACTCTTCACTCAATACCAGGTAAAGTCTTCAACAGGGTATTGTTGAACAGGATGAAGGACTGCGTAGACGCCCTACTTGGAGACCAACAGGCAGGATTCCGTAAGGATAGATCGTGTACAGACCAAATCGCAACTCTACGGATCATTGTGGAACAATCAATTGAATGGAATTCATCACTCTACATCAACTTCATTGACTACGAAAAGACATTTGATAGCGTGGACAGAACAACACTAATGAAGCTTCTTCGATACTACGGCGTGCCTCAGAAGATAGTCAATATCATACGGAATTCCTATGATGGATTAAACTGCAAAATCCTACATGGAGGACAATTGACAGACTCGTTCGAAGTAAAGACGGGTGACAGGAAAGGTTGCTTACTCTCACCCTTTCTCTTTCTCCTGGTGATCGACTGCATCATGAAGACGTTAACGTCTGAAGGAAAACACGGGATACAGTGGACTTCTAGAATGCAGCTGGACGATCTAGACTTCGCAGATGATCTGGCCCCCCTATCGCAAACGCAACAACAAATGCAGGAGAAGATGACCAGTGCAGCAGCAGTAAGTCTCAATATACACAAAGGGAAAAGCAGGATTCTCCTTTACAACACAGAATGCACCAATCCAATCACAATTGACGGAGAAGATTTGGAAGATGTAAAAACCTTTACATATTTGGGCAGCATCATTGATGAACAGGGTGAATCTGATGCAGATGTGAAGGCGCGGATCGGCAAAGAAAGAGCAGCATATTTACAACTGAAGAACATCTGGAACTCAAAGCAACTGTCAACCAACACCAAGGTCAGGATTTTCAATACAAACGTCAAGACAGTTCTACTGTATGGGGCAGAAACCTGGAGAACTACGAAAGCCATCATCCAGAAAATACAGGTGTTTATTAACAATTGTCTACGCAAAATACTTCAGATCCATTGGCCGGACACTATTAGCAACAACGTACTGTGGGAGAGAACAAACCAGCACCTAGCGGAGGAAGAAATCAGGAAGAAGCGCTCTAAGTGGATAGGACGCACATTGAGGAAAGCACCCAACTGTGTCACAAGGCAAGCCCTCACATGGAATCCTAAAGGTCGAAGTAAAAGGGGAAGACCAAAGAACACACTACGCCGGGAAATGGAGATAGACATGAGAAAAATGGACAAGAATTGGATGGAACTAGAAAAGAAGGCCCAGGACAGAGTGGGTTGGAGAATGCTGGTCAGAGGCCTATGCTCCATTGGGAGTAACAGACGTAAGTAATAAAACAACAACAGTGATGAGAAATAGTTATTGCTTGGGGTCTCTAAGGAGACTAGGTCTACAGGCAAGTAGTGTTTCATTTGAAAATTGGGTGATTCACTTTGATGAGCAGACTAAATGATGATTGGACACCAGACTCCAATCTTTTTTGAAGATTGAGTCAGTTCTCAATAAATGAATAAGAAATAGAATTACAGGCATCGAGTGGTTTAATGCCAGATGTCTTTTCTGTGTTTATAATGTGTGAGATTGATCGAAAGTTGATTGCTGGACGTACTAAAGGATAGGGACTATCTCACAATTGTCATACAATTATCATCTTGACCAGTATGGTTTCCGAAACCATGGCTTCCAACATAATCCAGAGCTCAGGAACTGGGTAAGTCAGGTAAAACTAATGGGTTTCAGGCGTGTCTGAATTCATCGACCATATATCTAATATCGGTGCATTTGTGTGATTCCTATTTCATTTTCCTCTGTTTATCTGTCCGCTTAATGAACTGTAGTTTAAAAAACCAAAAGTAGATCCAACCTCCCAATATTATTATTCATCATATTTGTCATAAAAATAATCTCATTAATTGTTAACATTTATGTAATCCCCATATCATATCTGTTTACCGCCGATTTTGTCCCGTCACGTATAGAACTTCAAAAATCGTACATACACGTGAATAAAGTATTTTACATTCTTTCTTCATCTATTCATTAAGAATTGTATCATATTAACTCTGTATAATTTTGGTAAATTTAAAATGAACCGCTAATATTAGTCCTGTTTAACAGTTAGAAACTGTTAACTGTAGTGTAATCTGTAGAAGTTCCTATTATAAAGTTTCAAACTTGGCCTCGGTCAACTTGTGGTTAAGAATTAATTAAACAGTCATCTTACATAATTAACCTTTATTTGTATTATGAAAAGCCGTGGGGTGGTTAGTTGTGTGTTTAATTTGATACACTACATTCACACGATAGATCCGCACAATATTTGTACTAGAAATAAAACGAACTGTAACAACCAACAATTGAATCTAAATCAATAGAATCATCTCATGTCTGTTGTCTTAAATCTTAATGTTATACAAACTTTTCACTTAATTCTTTACTCCTGAAACTAAATCTGTCAAGTACCACTATATGAAATTAGTCTATTAATAAGTAATTTTGTTTACGCAGATGATTCATACGTGAATATGCAAATAAGATTTTTCAAAGAATGAAAAGAGTCAAGATAACCGACAAAAATAGCACCATCGATTGTGTTAACAACGTACCAAATAAATTGTAGTTCTATTATATGACGTTTTAAATAAATAACGTATTTACGAAGTTCGCATATATTAATCGAATTTCTAAAAAAATGACCTGTTGTCTAAAGAATGTAAATTTTTATCTATTCTTAGTATGTTTTCATCTTCATATACATTGCATATTAGAATATAATTACTTCATTTGAATCAAACTTCATTGTATAATATCAGTTGTACATTTAAAATCACACTTGTGTGCAGTTATGTTTTTTTTAAATTCTGAAATAACGATTTATCAGGTTATTTTTTAGAATATATCCACTACAAATGAGCAATTTAGTGTAGTGTGATTTTGCTACTTACCCTGTCTACATTCAAGCATGTTTAAATGAATTGCAGTTACTCTAACTATAAATAAATATGTTGCTTGTCAAACGACTGGATAAATGACTGTGGTTTAAACTGCACTTTTCATTTCCCAGAGTTATCTGGTTATGCAAACCTAAGTCGTTGGTGATGAGTTTGAACCTGCAACCCACTGCTTAAAAGTTGGATGCTTTAATAACCTAACTCCGGAGTATATAAGCATGATACTAGCATTTGATTTGCTCTTTGCTTTCAAAAAACGTACCAATGAAGGGGTTTTGTGGAGGTTGGTTTAATTTGTAAGTGGTATTCGTCATAAATAGACGTCTATTGAGGTACCATTGAAAATCAAGGAGTACTAGACAACTATTTCGTCGTAGTCGTGTACTCCTTAGTAGTGTGTACACGTGACCTCAGAAAGTCTCTTCATTAGGGCTATAATCGTGTCGTTACCATTGACTTTCTTGATGTCTCAGTGAAAATCCCTTGTCTGTATAGTTCAGGGATATTTACAGTAAAGAAGTCATCACCAGTCCCTTTGAATGACCGTCGCGCTATAACACGAATCGTGTGAAGATGCAAATGTTTACTGTCAAACAATAACGTACTAGTCCTGATGGCTAATAACTTACCCTTAGACCTGAGGGGTTTGAGTTTGGTCCTCAAGGTATCATGGGTGCACACTACTGCGAAGTTCCATATCATGACGAAACAGCTATCCAGTGCTCCCTGCTTTGGAGTAGTAAGCAGACTGAAGTGAATCTGTGATGAATACTGCCGGCTAATTCCAATGAAGTGTTAGTGAGGTATATTTCGTCCTAATCCTTAAATATTTAGATTCTACATATACACAGTTTTTGATATCGTAACTCAATATCCGTTGATCACATATAACATTCAAGATTCGTACTTAAAATTTGCATGCGTTACAAAAAAGCACAAAAATTGTAAAATGTAAATCTTAAATCTTTTATGATTGATTTCTCGAATTTATTTTACACAAATCGTTTGTATTACGTTTTTTCACACATTCTCTGTGGGGAATCAATTTACAAATGTATTTCACCTATACTTTTACTTGTTGTGTTTGTAGCCAAGTTTATCTTGTAAAACTTTTGAAGGTTTAAACCCTGCTTCAATTTAAGAATCCAAGTACTGTTATCAGCTTTCCCACAGAAAGATGCGGCTCAATCCGTAGTACGCAGATCTGTGCATGATTACTGATTTGCCTATGCAATAATGTGAATAACTACTCAATATGCGATGTGTACGAAGTAGTTAAAAATCTTTGTGTGGGCTAATCGCTGACATTTCACTTGCATATCTTTCAACTCCTCGATAAACTATTTAAGATGGTTGCGTCATAAAATGAATTGATTAAAGTTAGACTTCTACATCACTAGAGAGGAACTGAGTTTATACGTGAAACTGACTCTAGATTAGATTACCCGTCGCGAGGTTGTGAATGCACACTACTGAAGAGTTCCGTGTTAGGGCTATACGGTCGTCCGGTGCTTCCAGGCTTTCAATAACTGTCTAACTTATATGGGTTCGTGATGTCAATAGAATTTGACATTTCCTTCAACCTCATTTTGATAGTTATTTTAAATTAATCATTTTCTGTCTATTTCTTTTTCTTTCTTCCCATTCTTCATAGTGCTGAGCAACGAGCAAATGATAGTTCCAAAAGTAAACTTGGCAATCAAGTAAGCGGTATTAATGAATTTATAGCATTAACAGTAATCTGTAGTTTGTATATGATATATGTTATCTTTGTTTTCATATCAAATAATACTACCATCTCATATTCTGCTATCGGACCTTGATTACTTTTCATTATTGTTCTGTAGAATACGTCAGGTTCATTTTATATCCAATCCTTCAAGAATGATATATATATATATATATCACATTGTCCAAAGAAAGTGTAAAAGCGATTCACCCAGTCGACTGACACTTTAATGTGAATAGTTTCCATTAATTATTAAGCAATAATAGTTAAACTTATTTCACTAACAGTACAGAGATTTGTTTCTGATAATTTTCACGAACGTTTACACTAGAAATGTTATGAACAAGTGAAGCAATTGAAGTTTAGTTGCCAAATTTAAATAATATAAGCGTTTATTTATTTATTTATTTGAACACATAAATATTGGTACAAGAGAGCGCCAATATACATGCGCCATACAAAACAATGAGAATTCGAAGAGAAGTAGAAGGAAAGAAAAAAAACTAAGGAACGCAAAAGAAAAAGAGAACAATGACGAAGAGATTGGAGTAAGGTAGTGTGGTAGTAACGACGGAACGAAAAAGTACAATCAGAAGAAATCTTTCAGGTAAAGGAGACACAACCACTTTTTATGAAGAAAGTAAAAGAAGGTTACAGCAGGATCGCCACTGGCTTCTATTCTGAGCCATATCTGATAACGTCTCTAGCCACTGTGTAGCACCATCTCTCGGACCCCAACCAGGGAGTCGTGAAGGACCGACAGAAGCCAGCCCCATGCAGCTTTCTTTCATACCACGACACCATGTCATACACTGACCACCTCTCCGCTTTCTCCAACCAGTCCCAGAGTCGGCAAATAATGCACGACGTGGAATTCTCTCGGACGACATTCGGAGAACATGTCCAAGCCACCGAAGTCGGTGTTTCAAGATGGTGACACCAATTGAGTTATCATCTCTGTGCCCGAACACACGATGCCGAACCTCTACATTACTGACATAGTGTTGCCACTGAATGTCAGCAATCCTTCGGAGACAGCGATGATCGAACACAGAGAGTCGTCTAACGTCCTCAACTCAGAGAGGCCAGGTTTCACAAGCATAGAGCAAAACTGCTCTTACCGACGCGTTGTAGATCCGGCCTTTTACAGCCAGACTAACATCACGAAGGCGCCAAAGGTGGCCCAGATTGGCATAAGCCGTTCTGGCTTTCACTATTCGTGCATTGATCTCATCACTCACACCCCCACCAGCAGTTATGCAGCTACCCAGATACACGAACTTCTCAACTACGTCTATCTGCTCACCGTCCAGGGTGAGTACAGGATTGTAATCCTGCCAGTCTTGTAGAAGTACTTTGCACTTAGAAGGTGCAAGGTACATACCATACCTACGGACACTGATTGCCAACTGATTAAGTGCGGATTGCATGCCTTGGGCATTATCGCACAGTAAGACAATATCGTCCGCATACTCAAGGTCGAGAAGTCTTTCTCCAGGCAACAGATCCACACCACCATTACTTACATTCATCAGAGCTGTTTCCAGAATGTCATCGATGGCAAAGTTGAAGAGGAATGGTGAGATTGGGCAACCCTGCCTAACCCCACTGCTCGAATGGAACAATGGAGAGAGGTGGTTGTATGCCCTCACTCTGCCTGAGGTGTTTTTATACAGGGCTTTTAGGATGTTAATAAACTTCTCAGGCACACCCTTCTTCAATAGACAATCCCAGAGAACAGTCCTATCCAACGAATCGAAGGTAGCCCTGATGTCAAGAAACACTACGATTGTTGGCCTTTGAAAAGTATGACGGTGTTCTAACATTTGGCGGAGGGTGAAGATATGATCAATACATCCTCGACCAGAACGAAACCCAGCCTGCTCCTCGCGAGTCAATCTTTCTCGGGTTTTGAACAACCTACGAAGAATGACGGAAGCCAATAGCTTGGACGCAATCGGAAGTAAACTTATCCCCCGATAGTTGTTACAAGAACGACGTGAACCCTTTTTAAAGATAGGGACAACTATCGACTCATTCCATGACGTTGGTACACTCTCTAGATCCCAAACCTTTGTAAACAACGTCGTCAATTCCTTAGTCAAAAAGTCACCACCATCTTTAAAAAGAGCCGGAGGTAAGTCATCTAGGCCAGGTGATTTGTAACGCTTCAAGAGTTGGAGTTCCTTGCGGACTTCCTCCTCATTTGGTGGATCAGTCGTCACCGGCCATGGAGGGCAGGACAGTCTGACCGATGTTGCCGGAGCAGCAGGCCAGTTGAACTGCCCTTCGAAAAATTCTGCCCATCGTCCAAGACGTCGATGGATGTTAGTGATTGGCATCCCATCATCCTCGCAGATTGTTTCACTCACACCAGACTTCTTGCTGCCAGTGGCTCGGATGAGCTGGAAGAGCTTCCGGTAGTTACCAGATGCAGCTGCTGCTTCCAGCTCATTAGCACGCATCGACCACCAGGCTTCTCGGTCCTTACGCAAGCTTTGCCCAATTTCTTTACGTAACATCCTTCGTTTATGGTCAAACTCACGGTCACCCGGAGTAGACCGACGGGCTTCAATGAGTTGTAAGGAACCTGGAGAAACCCAGTGCTTAAAAGCGGCACGTTTCGCAAACCCACAACTGACTGTTCCCGCCATTTTCATGGCGTCACGCAATTGCAACCAATGCTCATCTATACTTTTCGGTGGAGTGGTAGCTAGCCTAGAGGCTAGCTCGGTTCGATACTTACTTGCAACAGAAGTTGCAACCAGCTTGCTAACATCAATCCGTTGATGGCGTTCACTTCGTTGTCCACTGAAAAGTAAGGCAAGATTGGCGCAGACCAAGGCATGGTCAGAGTCCAGATAGGTACTCCAAAAGGAGCGGCAGTCTTGTACACAACCACGCCAGCGGTAGCTGATCGCGATGTGATCAGTCTGAGTCCAGGCTTGAGATGCAGAGGGAGGACGCCAGGTGGCACATCGGCGATGACTGTGCCGAAAGTTAGTGCTAGCCAGAAACAGGTTGTGGTCTGTGCACAGTTACAGTAGACGGTCCCCGTTATCTGACCTGCGACCAACGAGTCCCCATCGGCCACCTAAACGACTCTCTTCTGTGCCTAGACGCCCGACCTGAGCATTCAAGTCTCCGGCTAGTACTACAATATCTGTCGAACGCCCAACAGTTAGTAATACCATCTACATAGTTACCCCACCACCAATCAATCCACTTTCATACTCACTTGAGCAAAATCGTAGATTACTCCCAATACCACTAAACAACTCCTCATACAAACTAAAAGCATTAAACACACAAACACCTCAAACTCCATAAACATTGCACCCCACTCAATTTTCACCTCACACTTCTACTATCTTCCCCACCTCCCCTCATCCCTCCTCATCATCACCTGTACCCCTTAAACCTCTCCTACCACCATCAAAACTCCTCTCCTCATCTCATTCCAAATACCACCAATCCCTCTAAATTCAACCTTTAATTCACTCCCTCCTACATATTCTCCCCTAATCCCTTCTCCCTAAATCCATTATCCCAATAAACCTCCCCCAATAACCTAATCCAATTTGTTTTTTACCCCCCCCCCCCCCCCCCCCAAATTTTTTTTTTTTTTCGGGGGGTGTGTGTCTTCCCCCCCCCCCCCCCCCCCCCCCCCCCCCCCCCCCCCCCCCCCCCCCCCCCCCCCCCCCCCCCCCCCCCCCCCCCCCCCCCCCCCCCCCCCCCCCCCGCCACCCCAGGTAACATACAATTTTCAACCGGACAGTGACTCGAGAACGTTTAGATACAGTCGGATTTCCACCAAAGACGAGCCGCTGTATAGGTATAAAAGAGGGTGAATAATGTGGAAAATAATAATAATAATGATAATAATAACAATAATGACAATAATAGTAGTAATAATAATATTAGTATTAATAATGACAATAATTGTAATGATAATAATCTGAATCAATTGTTTGTTTTTCAAAGCGAGAAAGGTAATTTCCATAGGCATAAAGAGTTCATCAATTTGTGTGTGGGCTGTGATACTGCCCGGGTGCCCAAACCGAAGCAGGTGGTTATCTTAGGGGGCCACTCCCCGAGCCTTTGACCTAAAGGTCTAACCCACAAGGCAGTGGAGCATCGTAAGGAGATGCAGTCCCATGGTAGCCGGTGACCAACGATTGGTTCACACGCCATTCGTTCCCGCAGGATACTGGAGCCCATGTGCACCATTGATTTGGAATCCGGTTAAAGCGCCGGACATTCGCTGTTCGTCCTCTCATTTTCGTAGACAACACCCCCGCCACGAGAAGGCAATGAGTAGGACTTCCCTGGCAGAGGCTGTATACGCGTGGCCATGTGAGAGTATTTCGAGAGGGAGAGCGGACTCTCCCCACTCTCGGCCGTACCAGGGCATTCAGGGGGGCAATATAAGCGTTATATATAGCTGATTAGTTACACACTTGTTTATAGGGGAAATACTGAATAGACAAATTCGCAGTTAGTTGCAAAATGCTTTGTTTAAAAGAAGTAAATATTAAAGCACATATACCTTTTGTTGTACTCAAGTTGCATCAATATATCGATCAATTTGGGCTTTGCTCTTTCAATGGAAACCCAACTATCCATTGCTCCAATTACTATGGCATTACTCACTAATGTTCTGATTCTTTATTCATGCTTAAAATTATTTATGAACTAAAAGAGTATTAAAAGTTTGCTATTTGATTCTACCAATAAAAGATAATAACTTCAATTATTAGCAACCAACTGTAGGTGAATGTTTAAAAATATCGTTTTTTCAACTCTGAAAAATATCACGTTGATCGGTTGCTTATCGAAAGGTGTTCATACCAGTTACGAATATGGTTTAATTTTAAATCACTTGTTTATACACTTGACTTATTAAATATCTTGTTCGGATTCTCCTCTACATATTTCATTTTCAGTAACTAGGTCGTATTTCGTGCATACAATATCATATGTGGTTGAAACAAGTTTAGTGTATATTAAACTTCTTCATCAAAGTGTGACATTGTGAACAAATTATGTTTCCGCCATATGTCACAGATTGTACAAAACTGGTGAAAGATTGAGTCACAATGAGTGTGAAAATTGTTTACATCGTGTGTGTATTGACCTTTTTTTAACCCTCCACTATATGCTAAAACACTCCTAAACGGTTTTAAATCCGACAACGTTTGTGTTTTCTGTCTGTAAGACCACCCTTGATTTTTTAAATGTCACTACGTTTTGATGTTATTAGTTGAATAAGGATGTGTCTTTGAGTTTTATGATATATTGGTTGATCGATGCCATCATTTTCCTGGAGAATGATTTTTCTCTATCGAATACGTGGATGACATTGTCTTGTTGTGTGGTGATAATGTAGACTGCTTGAATATCACTTAATCAATTTGCAGTTAGTTTCTAAGTATGGTATTTGCTGTTGACCTTAGAAACGCGAAGTACTTTCGTCTGATTAACAGTATTCTGTTGCCGCCACTTGCCCCTGAAAATAATCAAAAGCAGCCGTGTTAGTCCTAGTGTTATGGATTCCATTCTGCGTTTTGATCATTTTAGTTTATCTCTAAAAGGTCGAAATTACAACGTATCGATGGGAGCATTTTTTTCGTTGTGCTTATGAAACCTGGACTTCCCGAGCTTACTATGTTCAAACACAACCATTATCTCTGGAATATTACTGGCATTGAGCGACAGTACCATGCCATTGAATAAAAAAGGCAATTCAACGAAGAATATTTTCCTCTCAACTTAAGCTGTACAATCGTATTTGTAGTTTATTTTATTTGCTAAAATAATGTTCTATAGTAAGACAGAATAGTGCTAAGTATTAAAAAAAACTTGAAATGGTATGTTGTCGAGACTTAGAAATCAGATAATGAAGTTACGCAATAATCGGCCAGTGAAAAAGTGGTAAAATGAAGGTAAATTTTCATTTGACAGCTATTATGAAAATAATTGAGACTTGTGAATGTAATTGAGAAAGAGTAGAAATAATGAAATAAAAATGAAAATAAAAACGGAACTTAAGACTATAGTAGAATGAAGGACTGAACACACTGTTTTTGTACTCAAAGGTAAGGCTCAACTGGTGGATTGCAATGGCCTTCTTTGTACATAAGTTTATTCATTTTCATTCCTAGTGAACTGACTATTAGTAGTGACGAGGTTCTTCAGTGTGTTCTAGCTTAGTAGCCATAATCCAGTTAATCATCTTGAAATACCAATTTCGGTTGCTTGACCAAGCTCTAGGAATTTTATTCCCTCTGTTTCCGCACCACACATCATTTCGCAATACCATAATTCCGTGGAAAATTTAATAGGTTGGCCAGTTTATGGTGTACAACGTACTATGAAGGATAGAGCTATGAGATTGGAATCTGTCCACGTATCACAACTCCCTGGTTGAGTTGTTTAAGATGAAACAACTCAGTGGCCTGAGACAATATCACTCAAAATAAATGTAGTTTTTTACTACATTCTTTGTGAAAAACGAATCCTTTTGGCTGCAAAAAAATTGGCTGTATTTCTTTTTGTAACTTGACAGTATATTTTATTAAATACTGTCGTTGTGTACATACCTCTTGATTATATGACGTTTTACTCTTCTACTTCTACAATTTTGCAGCAGTCAGTTTCCCTATTATTTAGCCGGTATTTCATTTTATTTCGAACAAGTTATTGTATTCTTGACGCTATTTCGATATTATATCCTGTACAACTGTATTTAATTTCATAGAATCATGCCTATGTACCACTTATCCATCCTTTTTGTTATTTTTTATTTTGTTTTAGGTAATCTGTAAAGGGTGGCTTAATTTGATCAATCCAAGTCTATTGCGTGGTGGCAGTCGTTATTGTTGGTTCGTATTAACTACAGATACATTGACTTGGTACAAAGATGATGAAGTAAGTGATGCTTTTATACCTTTTCGTTTATCTGCCCACCCTATTTTTAGTTCATTCTTTACTCTCGTTCACTTATTTAACATTTACCGATAGTTAAGTAAAGATGAGTAGCGAGTAGCAGCGAAACCTAGGATGTAGCTCTTGTCCTAGTAGGGATTCGTCAGTATCGCATCCTTAGCATTCACACAGGGACTAAAACCTAATACCATTCACTTCGAACTCCTAACGCATTATCCACTAAGCGTCTGACTCCATATACTTACTGTTCAACTTAAATACTTGTGACTAAATGACAATGTCGAGCCGATCCGCTTAGAAAGGTGTACAAATATAAAAAGTGACTGATCAGTCACAGTTTGTAATGTCAGCAAGGTAAAGACTTGAACCACCATATATCAATTTGAAAATGATTGGTAATACTTCTGTTTTTACTTATTTCTATTTATGTTGGTTGTTTTATTTTTCTGTTTGAACTTTTTTGTGTTTTTTTACTTCAGAATTATTGTGTTTAGATTTGTTTTGTTTTTTCGCCAGTGATTTATGCTGAGAAATATGTACATAAATTTGCATAATATGTACATCTATTCAGCGTGTAATAATTTTTTGACTGGTTGACACATCCTGTTACTATTACAATTGTTACTATTTTTATTTGAAGATAAACTAGAAAATTGAGAGGTTCAGTTTTTCTATCCCGACTTAAAATGGAAAGAATTGTTTTGATAAGTATAGCATATGTTGATTAGTATTTTTCGTCGTAAACTATTTCATTTCATGCGATAGTCTTTCTAATAACTATTTGAAAAAAGTTACTAATTGTTTTCATTCTATTCTGCCTTGATAGTTTTTATTTCACAATTTTTTTGGTAATTAATGATTGATTATGTTAAATGATTTGAAGATTTCAGTTTGTGTAGTTACGAAAGTAATTTTCATCACAAACAAGCACCAACTGCAAATTTCGGAACGAGTACTCCACCCAAACGTCCCATTTTCATACCCGCATTGAGCCATAGATGCGGTTTATTAAAGTATCCTATATTCTATGATCTGAGACAGTTGTCCTTTCGTGTTCTGTGGCTTTCAAGCTGATACTTTTTCCGAATGAGAAGTGTCTTTAAATTATGTATTTCTTCACAAATAAAAAATAAACTATTACTAATTAATTCCGGTCCCCTACGTCCTCTACTTGATTACGGCAGAATACGATATATAACTAACGACGATCGAACGCGTAGAACCCCTCAATCGTAAATCAGAAGATGGAAAAAGCAAGGGAATTGGTTATTGGATAAGAATAAAAAATGTGCAGAAAAACATGGGTATTCATAGTTACTAGTATTGACTGTAATATCATTTTAATTCAGCCAATCCTCAAAGCAAGTTATGGTATTGTCGATTCATAGCATGCCACGTTGACGTTCTAGAAGGCTCGATCAGGTTCTGGTTGGATGAAATCTCTTCGGCTCCTTTAGTACCTCAGGAAGTTTAATCGTGCTTTTTGAAGCGTTCCCAACACTTTACATCTAGAACTGGATGATACAAACCCTTACAGATGAAATGAAAATCACCTTGGTTCCACAAGCCAGGAGCCATCTAGACTCAGTAGCTCCATGGGAAATGCATTGGGCGTTTGAATCAAAAGGTACTGTGTTCAAGTTTTGATGAGAACATTAGTATTACAATGCCGGTACACTCAGCTGATGAGTCTCAAATAGAACGTAACGTACATCTTGATTTCACTGCAAACCAATATGATGCTTTGCTTAAAAATGCCATTCATTCACTTTCAATCTTATTGCTACATGTGACGATCTAGTAATAGAAATTACTCAGGATGAAGTTAACTTGACAAACAAATTAATCAATTAGTCAAGGACCCGCATATATAGAATTTTCGTATGAGGATTGTTGATTGTCAGTAAACTAACTAGTAGATGAATCAATTAGAAGGACTTTCAAACTCGTAGTCATGAAATAAGTATACTAGGACAGAATGTCGTCAACACTTTTAATGTACTATTGACTGATAAGTTGTGATTGAAACTAATAATCTGATTTTGGTACATTCGTGAAGGTTTCATCTTATATTAAGCACATATTTATCAAATAGGTTTGAAATAGTTCAGTTTAAAAACAAAAACCGAATTTTTTATAATAATACTCAGAAAATTAGATTATCCATGAATTAAGAGTTTCATAATATAAAATGTCTAAACTCAACTATCCTGTTTCTTGACATTAGGTAACAAATAATGTGTGAATACATCGAAGATTGCTTCAATTCGTATCGTCATTCCGATAATCAATTTTTATCTCTATCTCTGTGACTTGTTTTTATGTCAGTCAATATGTTTACATTTTTGGAATTGTTGATTATGTATTTCTCAGACAGTAAATTATTTTCACAGTTATTGACATTATTTTTAAATAGTGATTTTATTATTATGAAGACGTAGACATGAATGACCATGGATGTTGTTACTCGCTGCAGTTTAACCGTTTTGTGAAATATTGTCTAACTTAAAATGGATTCCTAAAAAAAAATCGATCATGAACTTTCTCTTTATCATGCATATATTTCAGAAAACTTATAAAATTCCATAAAGTTGTGATTATGTAGGTGAATTATGGCTTATAGCTATAGTATTAATTATCAGTTAGGGTATATCTCATGAATGTAAATTATCACGACTTTATAGCTAACCAAAATCTTTTGAAAGGAAACATTATTGTGGGAAAAATGCAATAAAATGGCTATATCACGACAATCTATACCGGATACCCATCTGCCGAGAAAACCAGTTGAAATTCACTTCTTAATATCAACAACAGACTAATTTAAATGGAAGCTAAACACTGTCTTTCAGTCTCTGTTTGAATATCACTACTCAATTGCAGTTGCATCCAATTGATAAGTCTAAAATAAGATGAAATGCACATACCAGATTACACTGCTAGTTATTATTCATCCATTCTATGAAAAGGAAACGTTGCTGTTTCAATAATTTTACAGAGCAAATCTTCTACGTCACATTAATTGCTTTTCTAGTGGTAACAGTTGAGATTATCAAGTCAATATTATCTATGGGTTCAGTAATACAATGTGAAACTTTTAAATAAAATTCACGAAATGTTTACCAATATGCTATCAATTTTAACATATATATGCTGAGGAGTCCCATACCAGGACGAAACGGCCGTCCATTGCTTCCAGGTTTTCAATGGTGGTCTAGCTTCAACTGACTCATGATTTCAACCTGTGAAACATATATATGTGTTTTCATTGATCGGAAGAGTTTAGTGAATTCTTGTCTCATTTATTATTATTTTTGAAGCATAATGCACTAACTTACTTACTTACTTACGCCTGTTACTCCTCGTGAAGGAGCATAGGCCGCTCACCAGCATTCTCCGTCCAACCTTGTCCTGGGCATAATGCACTAAGATTATGTAAAATTCTAACCAGTCATTTGATGTATTGAGAATGAAATTTTTCAAGGTAATTAGTTCCACGTGCTCGATTTAATTGTTTTCTATGACAGCTAGTCTTAGTAATTATTTAATGAAGCTGAAACAAATGAGGCGATGTTTATATTTACAATCTGCCAGTTGTAAAATGAGTACTATCATCATTAAACCAGCGCTCCAAATAAATGGTTGGGACATGACATTAAAAGTAATATATTTTCATTCGAGTGTCTCAATCGATGTGAAAAATATTCTAATAACTCGTAATCTTGTTGGCCAAATTACTGATATATAGTCCGCTCCAAATAATTAAATAGCAAAATATAAAATGACCGATTGTTAAAAACGTATATTTTCGTTAAATTATTAATTCATATAGAAAACATTCAATCTAATTTTATCAAATCCCATTGACTACTTTCAATTATCGAACACTAAAGTGTATTCTCGAATGATATTGCGTATATTTATGTAACTTTAGGATTTATCTTCGATTATTTCATCTTATTGTGTCAACATAAATTGATGCGAATAATATATATATATATATATATCAGATTCTTTTACTCCGTATATGATCGACTAAGTGAATTGACTAAAAATCTACAGGTTATTATTTACGAACTGTACTGTTGATCCAATGTTGACAATCAATATAATATCATAATGTCTTAATCATTTTTATGATTGCAAACTCTTCTGACTTTCATGCACCTTATTAAATTATACTTTTAAATACTTGAATTCCTTGAAAGAAAACAAAATAGAGAGACAATTAAATCTCCGTTTTTTCATTTATTGACAGTTGTTTTTTTATAAGTACATTAACAAAAATATGTGTCTTGTTTGTGAAAGTATATACAGCATCAAAATTCCTTTTTATGTTAACACACTAATCTATTATTATTATTATTACTATTATTATCAGTATTATGTTCTTTTTTCATCTACACCTATTATTAATTTCATTCTTTTATTTTATTCAGCACAATATTTAGTTTATGATCTCATCCTGGATCTAACACACTTTTTTTCTTACTGAATTTCTCATCAATCGATTGTTTAAATAAGATTAAAACATATAATGAACAAGGTCAAACGTTGTTTGTTATCTCAACAAAAATTTACTCACATACTCATCTTGATATTCTTGTAGGATGCTATCTATTCAGTATGTGTGTGTTCATGGTTAATTGATGCCTAGTTAGTAAAAAAAATAATGCACCTTATTTGTCTACCATCTTAGTGTGTATTGTGTTTTCTTTTGTCAAATTAATTTTTAATAAAAAATTTACTGTAGATATTAATTCATTGTCATATATCTCGGCACTTGTAAAATGTGTTAACCTTGTACTTGATTGGATTAAATAGAATATTTTTCAGTATTTTGATAAGAAAAAATGATGATAACCATACGAGGGATCAATTGCAGAACTTTCAGGTTTCGCATTGAATACTTAACCATTCGGACCACTATTTCGGCGTCTTTAAATACAAATCTAACTTCAATCAATTCGTGTTGCAGCATGACAATTATTCATCTGTGAACATTTTTTATCAGTCCTCGATGAGAGTCAATAAAGGGAAAAATGAACCTTTCTTTAAAAGGGAGACATTAGGTAGGAGAATAATATGCCTAAGCACACTGTTTTCTTACTTGGCTCTTTAAGAAACGTTTATAAAGCTGTGTTTCCACTAAATGGGCTTGTGGTATATAAAATAGCTAAGAGAAGATAATATTATTATTAATAATCTGAATTTTGATCCAATATTTTGAAACTAGTTCTTTGAACGCACATATTTTCATTCATTCCGTTTAATTAATGTTCAGCTTTTAACGATGATATACGAATGACCGATTTGAAAATGTAAAATACTGTTTCTTATATCTAATCTGTATACTTTCCATCAAATAATAAAGTAGTATAAAGTTTATCAGAGAATTATTGTTCGAAATCCCGTATGAAAATATGGAATTCGCTTTTTTTTTCTACTAGGAACGTGAGAGACGATTTGTTCTTCCTTTAGATGGATTAAAACAACGTAGCGGTGATACAGGATTTTTTTCAAAACGACCAACGTTTGTCCTTCATCATCCAGATCCTAAAGTTAATTTGTACAAAGATCACAAAACTTTAGATTTATCTGCAGATACAGAAGAAGCGGTTGAAGCTTGGAAAGCTGCTTTAGTTCGTGCTGGAGTGTTTCATGATCCATCTGGAAAACCAGACGAACAGGTAAGTAATCAAGGATTATATGTTTTTATGTCTCGTCTCGTATTCTGCCGTTTATTTTAATCCTTTAGCCATTGTTTTGGAAACGTTTGTACATATGTTGTTCAACAGACATGTATACAGTGTTCCGTCGTTGAGATTCACACAAAGAACTTAAGTTGTTGGAATGGATGACTTGATGTTGCCTACATTCAAACTTACTCAAAAGGAAACTATTTATAGTTGAGACTAGCGATTCTTCAGTTCATCCTCTAGTCTCTGTTTTCATAAGTGATATATTTAATTGATTGTTTTTCTATCAGTTCATTCCTTCGATAATTTTGTAAGTTGTTTTGATATGTGCACTTTTCTTCTTTATATTGGTCAAGTGAACAATTATCTTTCACATCTCACTTATAAATGTTATTCTCAATTATTATGTAACTTTCATTGAATACTTGAAAGTACTTCCATTTAGTTTTTGGCAACCGTATCAATAACTGAACACTTATCTGTTTTATTACAGACTATTGTTTTTAAAAAATAACTATCAATTCGGCTGTACAACTGTAGTAGATCACATCATTGCAAATGAACAATTTCTTTACGAAACTCTTGTTATCCTTATTGATTAATTATGCAATAGATTTTTTATGTTACCATACAATACAATGTTGATTCTAGTCGACTACTGATCGGTAATGAATGACAGAAGAACACGGAGGAAATGAACTAATCTCGTCTTTCATACTACTAATAATAAATCACCTAACACCAATTAATCTTATTCTGTTTTCTTTTCTTTTGTAAACTTATTTATTATTTAGCTATTTTTAGTAAATTAACTTCGTTCATTGATTTAGTTAAAGCGTCATTTTATATGATCAAGTAGTACCATGGCATCATATTGTACTCTTCAATTTTAAAATTTTTGTTAGAAAAACTATTCTCATAGCCCTTAATCTCAAGTCATATGATTTATGTGTATATGCATGGTTGAATGTACATCAACTAAGCATAACATAGGCCTCGTGATTACTTTTTATGTTCCTAGATGTGTGTGTACGTGATATGTGCTTTGTTATTATAATTATAAAAACTATTTTAATTCCTATCAAATGACTATTGAGAGGATAGCAAAGTATGGAATACTGACTTCATTAAATTCGATAAAGTGAATGCTGTTTAAGACAATGCATCCTATAGCTATTGTGATCACAGGAAATAGGTGCAGAATCTTGGGTTCTATGTTGTATAGACTTGGTAATGTATCTTATACATAACTTATTGGATGATATCTAGGCAGCTCCGAAGTAATTTATGTTTTTCAATTATAATTCAAGTGATATTTAATCTTTGAACAAGAAGATGAAAATTATGGGAATGGAACTGTATTCTTTACACCATCATTAGTTTACTTATGAAACTTTCCAAAACTGTGAACTACCTGCTTCATCATGGATAATTGGTTAAGAATCCAATACTACTTGGTCTCATGCTGAAAAACGTTACTACCGAGTTATTTCGTGGTTATCAGTTTTTTCTTCTTCAAAGTTTCATCCCAAAATATACTGACTACAAAAATTCTGGTTTTATTTCTAGTAATGTTTCATATATGCACTGTTAAGACGTTCTAAACAATGCCATAATAAATATATACATAGATGTGCCGGTTTGTAGAGCTTCTCTATCACGATGAAATAGAACAACAAATGGATCAACTAAAGTTTTAGATAGTGGTATTTAAACAGTACTCATTAGGTAATAGTGGTTGGTACTACTGCCCTAATTTTCCACACAAACTACATAAAACATGTGAAATCGTCTAATCTCAACTTTGAATGGTGATACTTACTAATAATGGGAAGGGTTTGTTGTTGTTCAGATTATCCACCTAATCAAATATTGTTAAATACAACTTGAGAGAAGATCAAGAAAACCGAGAGCATGGAATAGGAACAAATAATACTACGATAGATCTGTCGTCATGTATATGCTTGATTGTTTTACGATCAACTGCTTTTGATTTGTTTTATTTAATCTAATTAACTATCCTGTAACCATTCTTACGATGGAGAAGTTAATGACGTAATGAGGATAAGAAATGCGAATAACGAGAGATAACATAAAACTGAAAGGAGAGTTTACTAATTACAACATTAATGAAAGATCTAATGTCTGTACAAGCTCAATAACAGAGGGAGATATATTTTTAAGGCAGTATCGAAGGAGGTATAACTGTCTATGTAAACTACATTTGATGGTAGTTCTTATGTTTCACAAATACATTGTGACTAATTATTTCATGTTCTCAAAAATTCACTCCTAAACTAATTCATATAGAATGTATAGTTAGAATGAATTAAATGGTAGAGTTATTTCTTTGTTATTTTCATAGTAAATGGTTTCGTACTTGACTAAAAAGGTGTATAATTGTTCAATAAACTCAATGGATCAACGTTCCTACTACCTAATAATAATAATAATACTGTTGTGAATCTTATCATCTAAGTATGTGTATATTTTTTAAATATTCTTTTTGTGCTACAGACTGATGATGGTGATACGAATAAAATACCGACTGATCCTAAACTTGAAAGACAAGTAGAAATTATACGTAATTTAGTTGACTCCTATATGAAAATCGTTACTAAAACACAACGTGATATGGTTCCGAAAATAATTATGCATCAATTAATTAATGAGGTAATTTTATATATAATTTTAATCTCCAAAATATTACCTTGATTGTAGAATAAAAATCTCGCTATTTTTTTCATCTACATTTGAATGGTTGCTGTTTTTCTCATTTCTCCTTTACGACTCCTTATTTTCGCTTGTCTAAGTACGAATTGAATAGGCGTAATCATTTCGCTGATTAACTGATGGATTAGAAAATTTACGTCACCATATAGTTCTGTGAGCGCCTTTGCTTGCTAGACCTTCAACTACTGAATTACTGCCTCAGATTCCATTCTACCTTTGACACCCAATTAATACCTTTATCCCCCACATGCAAATTAGAGTACACGAACCTCAATTCGGCTACTAGGTTGTATTGATTGTAATACTTATAAACAATAAAGTTATGACCACACTGATTATCCGAAACTTTTATCTAACATTACATTAGCTACATTTGGTTCTGTATGATAAATAGCATTCACTTGAACAGCTTCCCAACTGTGATACTTATTTAATACGTCATGAATACTTCAATAAAAATCCTTTTATTATTATTTTTCCTTGACGAATGACGTACTGTAAATGATACGGTGTATCAGAATCAACTCTAACTGTTAGGTCATTGTTGGTAAGCGAATGATCTACAATTCTGATATCCTACAATGGTTTATGATAACTAATCACATTAATTTTAGCTTACCATTATGTATATTTCATTGAAATCATGAACCGATCTCAGACCATTATTGAAAACCTGGAAGCACTAGACAGCTGTTACGTTCAAGTATGGCACTCCTCAGCTGTGCGCATTCATGACCCCACACACGAAAATTGAACTCAGTATCTTCGATCCTGCGTGTGAACTTTTAACTTCTAGACAACTGATTCGGCATCCAACGGTGTTAATGTCTATCTTTAATCAGTCTGTGACATGTCACCATCTTTTATTGTCTTCGGTGGGTAACTGTCTCACACCGGACACGGTTCAACTGCACTAGCCATGGCTACTCAACAGAACTCTACAACCCCATACGGACTATATATGTATATATCTTATGTTATGTTTTTGGATAGAAATCCTATTCTTTTAACTAATGATCTTTTCTTTGAAATTCATCCATTGAGAGACTTACATCAATACATTAGTTTGATGAAGACTTATCACTCGGCCATATCGTATCATTTTATCACACTAGCTGATCGGTATTTTATTCATCTCTACAAATCATTCATTCACTCAAAAAGTCCTTCTGTTTCATTCAATTTAAATGGTAAACGACTGTAAACTCTATCGTGCAGTTAATAAATAGTTTGATTAACACTATGCTACTGATTTTCAGCTGGCTTTTTTGTTGTTTCACCTTCTAATTAACTTAGTAATTTAAAACAGTCCTTTTCTGCCTTCCTGAAAGTGATATATATATATCATTTCACTCATGTTTTCTCTTTCGAGTTAATACGGAACAGATGTATGATGCACGGACCTCTACTTAGTATTGTCTGTCTTTCACTGACAGAGTGTTATTTCTCAACCAGTTGAATCTTCTACTAACCACTCATTTCGAATGCAAAGTTTATTCAATTATACAGAACTTATGATCAATGCACTAGGACCTGAATTTTTTCACGCATAATTGACTATACTACTATAAATAATATATTACTAAATATAGTTTTTTTGCCAATTCACTTCAATCTTGATGACGTAGTCAATATTTTTACTTTCTAAATTATTCTCAAATATAGATCAAGATTTTTCTAAAAGGCGATCTCTTGCCCAAATTGTATTCACAAGACCCTGTAAGTTCGTCTATTTACTTTTTTTGTCTCTTTTTTAATCAATTTTGTTTTAACTAGTTAGTGGTAGTTTTTATTCTAGTACTATTTGGACTATATGTGCTTCTGTTTACTATCAATTCGACGGAATTTTGTTTGATTCATTTGTGATATAACGGATGGTTTAAAATATTTATCTCTCTCGGGTATACTACGATGCTAAGGCTAGTCACGTTATATCAGATCCAGAATTCACGACCCAGAATAGAGAACCAGATTGACACTGGATTGTAGTCTATTCAACACAGTTACAAGCAGTCAAACTCAGTGAATCCGGTGTAGAAATCAATGGGAGGAAAGAAATTCACATACTTAATAGTCAGTAGGTTAAGTGCCGCTCAGTGACCAATCATATTTTACTTACACTAACAAATATCAGTTGTCAATCTGAAAAATAAAATGCTATGAACAATTACTATCTCAATACTTTAAACGACAATTTCTATCATGAAATGATGTTTAAATGTAGAAAACAATTGTTGATCGAAACTGAAGAAACAAATAATGAAGAGACTATCCACAGTTGTCTTTGATTTTTTTTTTACTTTTCAAGTCTGACTTACATTGCTGTTAATCGTCTCTTTATTATATGACAATTTACAAAGTGTGACTGACACAAAGTTAGGGAATAACATCTTTTGTGGCAGTATATTGTATAAACAGATAATTGTTTTTTCTATTCACTGAGTCGTTATATGATCTCAATTCAAATTCAACAATCTCCAAAATTCCATAGTGATACTTGGGCTTTGTTTTTTGCTCATCAAAAGAAACGGTTTCCTTTTTTGAAATTTCGATTACAAGTCATATTCTGAATAATCAAAGTATCATTAGGTATACCAATGTTTCCCTGATTACCGACAATTGAACATCGATTGTTATAATTGGGAAGTTTGTCTTGGTCTGAGATTTTGAAACAATTATTCCACATTGTAAATTTAATATTTGTAATAAGTAATATAATACTTTTGTGTAGTGCATTTCAAACGGTCTGGTCATATATTTAGTAAGTCAAAAGGTTTAGTACGAAAACTAACAAAAGATCATTACGAATAAAAAGGTCAACTAAGTCACAATTAATTATTGAAAGTGTACAGAATAACAATAAGAACATCATAATACCAGAAAGTATATACTTTTTACACCAAATCTGCCATCAGAACTTGATTAAGAACTGCCAAGGCAGGTTTAAAGTCGCAACATATTTTGTTGGAAAACATAAAAGGGTGCTTAAAATTCCTAGTGATTAAGATTTCTATTGAACCTGAAAATGTTACATTGACAGTTCGCTTGTAAAAGAGGTAAGAGTTGTTTTAAGTTTTTTTCGCTATTTCATGTATATACGATTAGATGAGAAAGATTATTGACCCATTTAACATATCTGAAATTATGATGCCAGCTAGGCGTGTAGCTATTTCTGGATATCCTTGACCACCTTCAACTACATATCTTGAGTTATCTTTGTACATACATATAGACTAGTAAACGCCACATGATATTGTACGATACTGAGGCTCATGGAATCTTGAGTTCTGTTTTCTTAATGAGAATCAATGACAATTTTGACCTATGGACTATTATTACTCGATCTGCCATTAGTTACAGTATCCTACAATCACAGCCACTTTGGGCTAGATCTTGTAGAAATGTTACTTTTTACCTTATGATGTGATGTGGTCTATTTGGCTTTTATATGAACCCAGTATGTTTGAAATACATGATTCATATCGAGGAGACCGAGATTTGTGTTCTGGACTCAACAAGGGTTAGGCAGGAAGAAATACCGATAATGACTCTACATTGCTCGTACGGGTCCGTCATTAGTCTGGTCGATTAGTCACTGTTCTCTTATTGGCGGTATCATTACGTTATATATTAATAGGGCACAGGACACAAGTTATAACAGTAATATAATGAAAATGAAATTCAGAAAGCTTTGAATTTTCAATTAGTTATCGAGTAATTAGGATAATTACGATTGATCTCTCTATATATTTATAGGATTTGACTTATTATATCGTACGATAGTATGTTATTCAGTGTTTTTTTTAAAAACAAAGTTTACCTTCTTAGCGTCGTTTTATTAGTTAATAGAGGTTAGAGTTGGTTTTTCTTTGACCACACTGGTGCACATCATAAGTGGTGTGTCTACCTACAAACGGATGCGTCGAGATCAGTAATGACTAATGAATTATAACTGCGTTGTGCTAGTTTGAAGTCGAACCTTCTTGTGGTTTTTTTCATCCTCAACATTGGTCAAACTAATTATTGTTAATTGTAAAATGTTTCTCACGAATGAATTTGACAAAAATCTCTAAGTTATTGAAACATTTATTATTTGGAAAGTGTATAAGATTTTCATGTGAACACATTTCACGCATTATATTTAATCGGTCCATTTTCTTTTTGTTTTATTTTCTATTTGCTTTAAAAATATCATCATCGTTGTAGAACAATCTTATGGAAGAGTCATCAGCTGAGAAAAAGCATCGTGAAGAAATTATACGTATGTATGATTCAATACGTGAGGCATTATCAGTTATATCAGATGTCATAGCTAATACGCATAGTGTCCCATTACCTCCACCTGTCAGTGATGACTGGATTGAGACGGTAAGCTTTGTCTGAAAAGTATTATCATATTAATATATAGCTTAAAATCATTGATAAAAAATACATCTTAGGAGTCGTTTTAATCACTCTAATAATCGTCTTTTGAATCCAAATGTCGAAATTCAATGTATTCGCACATTATTTTTGATACTACTTTAACTCCAACATGAGCACACACGATCCTTGTACTCGATGGTTGAATATTTTTCAGCCAATTATTTTTCTCTCTTATTCATAACTTAACTAACCAATTAGTTGCGTAGAAATATTTCTGTATGGCGGAAGGTCATGCTTTAGTTACTATATATACGGAGTCCTACTCTTGTAGTTTGCCCTGTTCGCCCCACTTAGAACTCATGTTCCTTCTATGTTATCGCCAAAGTGTTGTGTGCTAGTTGGTGTCATCGCTTTACGCGACAATCGTTCCTGGTTTGGTAATTATTGTAGCATGAACATAAAATATTAAAATATAACAACTTGATAGACTGAAATTTTAATTATAGATATTTTATAGTTTACCAAATGTTGTGTTTTCCTCTTATGTTATCAATCATGTAATTTACTTCAAATGGTTTTAAGACTTGTAAGATTGGTGTATGTTAGATTTGCTACGTACATAGTAAGTGACAAAATTAATCATTCATGAGATTTGGTTGAATTCATAAATATAGAAAAAAAAATCTAATTTTCAAAGTTGAAATACCTGGAACATTTGACATACAAGACTTGAAAAAAGGTTACGAAAATAACTAAGTATTTCTAAATAATCTTTCATCGAGTAATTAAGTATCATAAAGTGAGTTAATGATAAAACATTTCTATCTGGTCTATCTAGATATTTAGCACCAGTAATTAATTTATCGTTATCGGAATTATTCGTTATGTACACTGGATAAAGTAAGATATTATTAGTAGTCAATATTTGTGGGAATTCGTGTGTTGGCTAGATTTAGCCGATGGTTACCGCATTTTATACCTTCAATATCACCTTGTGGTATTGAATATACACACTGTGGGGATTATGTCTTTTTTAAAGAATAATCGCATGAAGTATGGTATGGCTGTAAATACCCATACGTTACTAACAGTTTATTAATAAACCCATCATTTAGTGCAATTTTCTGAAAAACCCATTGTAATTTTTTCCTAAATTTCAGGAGTTATCTACTGGATCAAATAATATTCGTCGACCACTTCCTTCTAGTAATACATCTCATTCCGGTCATCACAGTACTAGTACAACACAAAGACCTTTAAGTCCTAATAATATCACATCAAATTCTAATCGTCCCATACCTTCAAGACCAGCACCAAATTTACCTATACGGCATACTTTGAATCCCCCAACAATTGTAACTACAGCCCCTGGTCAACTTCCAGCTCCACTTCTTCCTCAGTAAGTTTTTCGCGCTCATTTATAAAAACAGGAACAGTCTCTTCATGTGTTTTCTACGTTCACAAATTTGATTTCATATATGAATTGTAATGTATGTAAAGTCGTTATTTGTTTCGATCTGATGTTTAAATCAATGAAATTATCCGTATGAACTACAGTCATATTGTATAAAAATTGTTTATTTCCACTTGTGGAATTATTTTGTCTATGATATTTCGATAGGATAGGAACATATGTCAGTTCAAGATCAAGTTTAATACTCTATCTATTTTAGTGTCCTTCGCTTAAATATCATTGAGTAAGTTGTGTGTTTACTTATTCAAAAGTGTGTGCATATACACACTTACCTACTTACGTCTGTTCCCCTTCTTGGAAGAGCATAGGCTATCCACAAGTATTGTCCATCCAACTCTGTCCTCGGGTATCCTACATAGTTTCTTCCAGTTGTTACTCGTCTTTTTGATGCCTTCCAATTCCAGATGCAGTGTGTTCCATGGCCTTCCTCTTTTCCGTTTCCCTTCAAAATTCCAAGGTGGCCATTGCCTCGTGATGTAGTTTATTAATTTCCTCAATTTGTTTCCTATCCACTTCCAACGTCTTTTCCTAACTAACTCTTCAGATGGAAGGTACTTTGTTCTTTCCCATAGTAGGTTGTTGCTGATGGTATCCGACCAATGGAGACTGAGTATCTTGTGTAGACAATTGTTTATAAATACTTGCACTTTTTTGACAATGGTTGTGATAGTTCTCCAAGTTTCAGTTGTGTACAGTAGAACCGTCATGAGGTTCGTTTTGAAGATTGAGACTTTGACGTTAGTTGACAGTTGTTTTGAGTTCCATATGTTCAACTGTAGGAATGCGGCCTTACTTTGCTAGTCCTCGCCTTAATATCTGCATGAGATCTTTATTTATTGATGCTGCTGATCAGGTACGTGAGGGTTTCCACCTATTACAAAGTTTCTCCATCAAGTGTGATTGAGTTGATATTCTCCGTGTTGCATTTGAGGATTTTGCTTTTACACTTGTGTATGTAGAAGCTTCTATACTGGTTCTATTCATTTGCATTTGTTGATGGGTAGGGGATAGAAGGTCCAGCTCATTTGAGAAGTTCAAGTCGTCCATTGATTCTTAACTGTCCATCGTATTCCGTACTTTCCCTCAGATGTCGAGGTCTTCATAATCCAGTAGAAAGAGGGAGAGATAGAATAAGCAGCATTGTCTGAATCCGGTCCTAACTTGGAATGCGTCTGTTAGCCGTCTTCCATTTACGACTTTGCATTGTATTTCATCGTATGATGTTGACCATCTTCTCATATGTATTCACACACTAGCCATAAATGTGCAAGTTCTTTATAAACTGAAATTCATTTGTGTTGACTATTTTTAATTAGTGAATAAAGTTAATAACCTCCTAAAATCTTATTTCAACTGGCAATTATAACAATAATTGTAATCGATTTTCTCTACATAATATATAACCATTTCCGTATTTATTTTGAATATACAAAATATCTTCTGTTTCCTATCGTTTCTTTCTTTAACTTGCTGAGTATGTTCACTTTAAAGTTTTTCATATTCTAGTTACTCATTTTGTTGTTGTTGCACTTTATTTCATATATACAGCATAATGAGTAAGCAAAGATGAATGGGCGTTACTATCTCTCTCTCCCTATATGCGGTAACTAGCCTGAAAATAAGCAGTATTTTTGTTAGTTTCATTTAGTTCACTGAGAGAGAAAAACAATACGCGAAACAATGTAAATCTATAAATACTGGTAATGATATAGAACACAAATAATAGCAGGAAATAGTCAGTAGCATAATTACAGTCATAGAAGTTCCTTGTCTGACTACGTAATACTTAGATCATACATTGATTTATCGCGAAATAACATTCAACCTAATTTTCTTTATCAAATAGCTAGAAATTATATCTGTTGCGTACATCAACATGTTCGTGATTCCTTATGAATTCATTTAGCACATCGGCATCACAGAATGACGTATGAAATCTATTGTAAGAAAGATATATTTCGAAATACTGATTTACGAATAAGAATCACTGTGCTATAGCAACGTACCATCACTAGATACTTAATCACTACTCATTCGGCCATTTGATTGAGAATTAGATTAGACCACAACAAAAGTGCTTTAGCACAAAGTACAACTCAGTCAGTAAGGGAGATCAAATGTTATACAAATTTTGCAATATAAGTGTTCTCTTATATTCATTATAGACTTATGCCCCTATCTTCAAACTTCATTAATTATAGTTCACATGGATTTGGGATATCACGGATTTCCTAAAGCTTTGAAACCACTTACAAAATAAGTAACTTTGCGTCGCCTTTCCCGTTTCTTTTTTTGCCTTAACCTTTTGGTTTGTATCTACTTAGTAGTATTGTAGTGAAGAAGAACACGGGTGAGACAGCCAAATTGTATTTAGGACAAATTACAGAATTACTTGGTAAATTAGAAAAACCATATAGTAAATCGTTAATTTGCAAAATATCATTCTATCATATCAAACCGGGCTGTTGCTGTTGCAAACAGCAATCCATTGTCTCGCATTTCATTGCTCATGCGATTTCTTACAAATTCCATTGTTTTCTCGCTCTTCTTTTCTTGATCTTCTCCATCTTCTGCTGCCAGCCATTACGTTCTTTTGACTCACGTTATATACTACTTATATCAATATAAGTAGCACGCACCACACTCGTCCCCCCTTTTAACAAGTTGCTGTCGTAGTCTTTCTGATCTCCGTACCGCTGTGTTCTTTGGTGCTTTTCGTGATTCACACCCATGATGATCCTGAAACCATCTCTGTAGTTGACTAGCATTTACGCGCTTCTGTTTGTCTTCTCTCCGGATCGTGTAGACTGAGCCGCGTCTCTCCGTGATTACATACGGTCCTTCCCATTTTGGGGCCAGCTTCCCCGACCCTGCTCCCCCTGCTATGTTACTTTTTCGTTCTCTACACTTTACTAGGTCCCCCACTGCAAAGGGTTTCCACGTTCTCCTCTGTTGTTCTGCCTTCTTTGTGTCTGATATTTGTTTCTTTTCCACGTTCCTTATTGCCTCTCTCCTCTCTTTTCTTAACCTTGTTGTCGTCCACTTCTGTTGTTGTGGCCAGGTCTTATTATGCATTGGAAGTCGTGGTTGTCTGCCATACATGAGCAAGAAAGGTGACTTCTTGGTTGTTCCTTGTGTTGAGGAACGATATGCCAGCAAAATCAATGGTAACTCTTTCTCCCAATTTCCTCCTTTTGATGCTAACCATTCCTTTAACGTCCGATTGTTTCTCTCTGTAAGCCCGTTTGTCTGAGGATGATATGGTGTAGTTCGTATTCTCTTGATGCCAAACTGCTTTAAACGGGCTTTAAACTCGTCACTTTCAAAACAGGGACCCTGGTCAGTTAATATCATCTTCGGTATTCCGTGACACGCTACAATATGCCGGATTACCACCTCGGTCACTGTCCTTGCCCGCTGGTCTGCAATGGGTACGGCATCTACCCAACGTGTGGCATGTTCCGTCATCACTAACAGATACTGGTTACCGCTCGCCGTCTGTGGAAACGGTCCCATCACATCAACCGACCATAGATCACCGACTGCGGTTACTGGGATTGACTGTAATGGCGGTTGTGTGTATCGATCGCTTTTCATTAGCTGACACTGCTGGCAGGTTAACACGTATTCAGCCACATCGTCTCTCATGTTCGGCCAGTATGCACTTTGTCGTAGTAAGTCCGTCGTTCTTGCGATGCCTGTATGTGCTACCTGGTGACACTCGTGTATCACTTTACGCCGCCAGTCTTTCGGGATCACCGCCACCCAATTTTCATCATCGTCCTGCCAGGTCAGCACTCCATATGAGTTCACTCTCAGTCGATCCTTTTGCCGAAGCAGCGTTATTACCTCCTTGTCCATTGTTCGTTTATCTACGTCTGCTCCCTCTTTTATCACTCTGATTACCTCTCGAAGGTTAGGGTCAGCTTTCTGCTGCCGGACGAGTTCTAATGGGTCTCCCTCTAAACTATTCACCGCGTATGCTGTTAATGGCAGGTCGGCTTCCATGTCTGGTCTTGACAAGTAATCTGCCATTACGTTTTCTTTTCCTGGAACATGGCCGATACTGAAATCGTATTCTTGCAGGCGTATCATCCATCGCGCCAACTTCCCTCGGGGGTCTCTTGCTGTTTTCAACCACTGCAGGGGTTTATGGTCCGTCTCAATGTGAAATCGTCTACCTAAAAGGTATGGTCTCCATTTTTCCACTGCCCACACGATCGCTAAACACTCCTTTTCGATGGTTGAATACTTCTGTTCAGCAGGTGTGAGGACGCGACTCGCGTATTCCACCACTCTATCAGCCTGACTCAACACAGCACCTATACCATGATCACTCGCGTCTGTGGCCACTGTAAACAGTCTTCCCGGTTCAGGCAGTCTAAGCGTCATCTGGCGATCGTCTAGCATGTTTTTGATTCGGTTGAACGTTTGTTCGGCAGTCTCAGTCCACGTAAACTTGGTGCTGCTCAATAACTTATATAAGGGTGCTGCTATTTCGTTGAAATTTTTGACAAACCGACTGTAGAACGCCGCTCTTCCCAGGAACTGTCTCAACTTCCTTTTCGAATTAGGTACTGCAATATTTTTTATGGTAAGAATTTTCTCCGGCAATGGTTTTATTTCTCCATTTCCCACTTTATGTCCCAACAATGTGACGCTACTTTTCGCTATCTGCGACTTGTCCTTATTAATCCGAAGTCCAAATTCGTCAATTCGCTTTAAGACCGCTTCCACATGTTTGATGTGATCTGTTTCTGTTTGACTGTACACAACTACGTCGTCGCCATATACCTCGACATTATCTAGATTCTTGAGCAGTAGTGTCATTAATCTTCTGAACGTGAACGGTGCACCCGCCAACCCGAACGGCATTCGTTTAAATTGATACTGTTTATCCCGTACAGTAAACGCTGTCTTGCTCC